GAAAAATACTAGGGCGTTCCTTAGATACCGGCACCATAAGGGTCCTGAGGAGAGATGCGTACATCTAGCTGTGCAGTCAAGTGTACAGTCACATCCTAATAGTCGATATGTGCAGCTTCTTTGAGTACCTTCTACCCATACTTTGTATATGGTGCTGATTTTTGTAAAGATAAATGGGCAGTATTCAATGGAGCGTCGTATACACATTTTTAAAAGGGTAAGCTTGATTTCCATTGCCAAGAAATTCTTTATTATAAAACCCAGTGGCCGTCTAGACTTAGAAGTAGTAGACGAGGTATGTCCTTCGAATTCTAGGCTTCCTATGTAATTAATACTTAGACTGTTTCCTGGGTTGTGTGTCCGGATGCTGCATTTATCTAAGTAACGAGACAGTTCCCGGTAATGTCTCCAAAAGCGGATGATCCCACATTTGTTGTGCTTAAATGGTAAGTGTCATTTCTCACTCCAGATAGAAATGTTATTGGGATCACTTTGAATGTGGGATATACTTTAACTTAAAGCTTCGGGCTTAAGGCTGTATAATATTTTGATGTCATCGGCATATAAGTATGGTCTACCAAATCTTAGGATTTTGCACATATAGTTTATATACATGAGAAACAAGGATGGACGTAATACAATACCCTGGATAACTCCACTAATCATCGGTTTTGGTGGTGAGAGCGAGTCACTGTACTTTACTATTTGTTTACGTTCGTCAAGATATGAAGCAGACTACGGATGCAGTAGGTTATTGATTTCTAAGGACTTTGATTTTATGAAAAGCCTTTCATGTGAAACCTTATCAAAAGCTTCCTTAAAGTCTAAGAATATAGCTAATACAAGGAGTTCTTCGTCTCATTTTACAGGTATGTCATATAGATAGTCCACCAGGCACTTATTGCATCAGCTGAACCTCATAAATTCATACTAGAAGACTTATATGAGGTTATAAACCAGTAGATGTTGGATTACCGCCACACTAACTACGTTCTCTATCACTCAAGATACTACTGTGATCACGTTTATAAGTCGATCATTTCAAAATTTGCTGCAGGTCCTTAGTTAATTTTGGGAATGATATATGTAGTTTCCTAGGTAGTAGGGTAACATGATGTAGAGAGTGATATCGCAGGTGGTTCAAGAAGCATAACACACTGATCATCACTTCCAACTTTTAAAGTGATGATATGGTGAGCCAATTAGAAGTGACCTAGAGGACAGGTGCAATTCATTGGTCAATAAATGGGTCAATTTCCTAAGGATTGAAATGGTATATATATTACTGAGTATTCGTACATTTTACTCAGTAATCCAGTACACGTTCTCGTTCAAGCAGTCAGTTTGGCGGTGTAGCGCATAGTATACAGTGTATCAGTATAATATTTTGGACACCGCCTGTTACAACACATGTTATCTGGAGTGCCATTCGGTCCTTTATTGTAGGAGTGTCTGTGTGCTTATTTTTTTTTAGAAATATTCTGTACATTAAAGTCTACACTAGTGACTTCGTAGGAAGGTATCAGGGTGGGCTCTGACCTATTAGGTGGTTTTTCTTTGTTCAATCAATAACGAAATTACTTTCTGATTGGTTTCATTATAAGTCCAGAGTCTTCTTATAATTGATTGTTCTTAACAAATATGCTTCTTCTTCTTGATTTAGAACATTTAAGTCGATTTTGAAAAAGTTTGATGAGTTTAGAGGAGTTCCTATTAAGTTCGAAAGCACATTTTTACTGCGCAGCTGTCTTCTGTGTACATAATGCCTCTGACTTGAAAAATATTTCTGTTGTCGTAGCCAAAGGAGAAAATTGGTTAAGGTGGTGGAATTGGGTGTAATGCCTACGAAGGTATCTCTGTATATGGACAGGTGTTTACGGATCTTCAGAAACCCCAGATCTTCAGTATTTTAAAGATTCTGTTTTTCCATAGATATTATCGATGTTGTGATAGAATGTTATTTAGTAAGTAGTGTTTAGGGTAAAAATGGTGCTTAGGCAGTTTTGGAAGGTCAGCGAATCGTCCTCTAGCTCTAGTCAAATCGCACGACAGTCGGGTCTGTGCATCTCGAACAGCCGACTGATTCTCGTCAAGGTCAAGGATAACCAGTGCGCACTAGTTAATTGCACGCCATGAATTGCTTCATATAACAGTAGTCGCTGTTCCTTGTACCTGCTCTTACTAATATAGTTCTGTAATAACGTCGTTTATGTTGTATAGTTACCGAAGAGGCCTTAATACCTGGTTACGACGAAGGGATTATCCACGTCAAGCACTAATCATAAGGTGTGGCTTCGACGTCGGCTGTTCGGTCACACCATTTCCGTCTATCCGAGTAGGCCCTCAGTCTTCCAACATAGATCATTTAGGTCAATGATCTATATAATCAACCTTGCGATAGTTTCTACAAAGTGTGATATTCGAATATTTACTTGTTGTCCTTCTTATATCACGACTGAAGGTGACAATATTACGGTCTTTACCTGGAAAGGTCCCTCCAAGATACACAGCACTGGGGATACAGTTGCTGGTAAAGACTAAATTCAAGATATTTTGATGTCTAGAAGGGCAACTCACACATTGCGTTCACTGTCCAAGCTCTATGAAGTCAGTACATAACTTAAAACGTTTTAGCCCTCTTACTGGAAACCAAGAAGTTCCAGGCATGTTGAGGTTCTTACAAATAAAATTATCTGTGGATGGTAAGGACGTAGGTAGTGTAAATAATTTTGATAATATTGCCATTTCCACTGTTGATGCGTCTGGTTGACTGTAAACACTACCCAACTATAAGGAAATTGAATTTGAGGGCTTCGGAATAATCCAAACAGAATCACTTTTTCTTTGTGAACCTGTAATTTTCAAAACATTCGAGGATATCAGAACCGTCCATTCGTACTTTTTGGCAACTGTGAAATCGACAATCCAAGATGAATTACGAGGGGATAAATTAGTAGGAATGTACAGCTCAGAGGGAGGATGCTAATGCTTATGTTGTCTACTTACAAAAACTAAAAGTTCGATTACCAGAAGTACTCAAATGTGCATGAAATATTCCATTTATACCACTAAAAAGGATACAGATTTAAAATGTGATAGACTGTGATATGAACAATGAAAGTTCAAACGATTGAGAGTACTTAAATGGATCGATATCTTATGTTTTGATGATAAAGAACAATCAACTGAATTCACTATCAATTTTGAGTTCCAAGGCTCACTTGACATAAAATGATCCAGCTAGTAACCTCAGCGAAGGCTCGAGGTACGATGATTCAGGTTCGAAACGAATAGCTTTCCATAGATCAGCTACTTTCAGGCTCTCATCATACACTCATCGAACATTTTCGCCAGTTAGTTCGGTGATAACCATTTGCCCATTACTGAACACCGTGAACAAAATAGGAAGCGAAAACAAAATTTATTTTATAGCTGTACAGCAGCACTCTTGTTGACAAGGATATCTCTGACCTATTAGCAACATTTGAGAGTTGCTACTTAGTTATTTATGAGTCTCTCGAGGCATACTATTGGTCTGCTTAGCCTATTCGATCGTAATTCAAAGAGATCTAGGCGTTTATTCGGCGCTTACATTGCTCGTAAGATGATTTTTAGAAGCTGCTCCGAATAAACTATATCCTTAGAACGTGTTCCGCTCACTTACAGAGAAAGCACCATTTTTCGTAACGTATAAAAGATACTAAAATCATAGATTTATGCTATGACCGAATATTTCAAAAGGCATGTTAAATATATTACCAGGTTTCTATGGCATGAGGGAAACCGCATTAGTGATGTATTCAGTTTTTAAGAAAAGTTTAGATATGTTTGGTCGGAATTTCTATTATTATTTCAGAAATCATTTGTTCACGTATATGTGTAGCTGAGAATAAATTCCCAACACAAGTTGTTCCTTTAATCCTCGACAGTGATATTGACCCCATTAGCTTCAATGGACATACCATGACTGAAGACGCCTTCTCGAAAAATAACCAGCCTGAATCACATACTTCTCGGCCCATCGACTATCTTTGAGCCGCTTTGTTCCAGTCTTTTGGTGTGTTTAGGCTAGAGATCCTCAATCAGAAACGTGTTGTGGACAATGGGGTTGTCAATCCCTGAGTGTCCGTGACATCTTTATAGAGCGATAGGCCTTCATTTACTTGGACTCCTTCCTTCTGACGCCGTTCTCGGAGCGTTGGTACTACTTGGTAACACGAAACTCTTGGTAATACTAGTAGCAATTAGGATGTAGTTATGAACTGAGTTTGGGATCATACATGTGGTTGTCTCAGGTTTTATCATGACGACTACCGTACTCTGCAGTGAAGCGAGTGGATATGGGATCATTGGAAAAATCCACCATATCGAAGAGGACAACTTGAAACCGTGCTTGTTTACATACTTCAAATATTTTCGGAGTACTGTTATGAATAATTTCTGAATTTTAATCAAAAAACCAAATGATGTAAATCAGCTTGAGCTCACAGATAATTCGTCTAATGATAGACAAAACTTCCATAAAAAGCAATCCAGTTTCGTGACTAAATGTCCGTCGATATCATAGAATGGGCTTCGCGGAAGTACTAAAAACAATAGTCTGGTGTTTAATTAAGAATGAAGTATAGAACAACGCAATAATTCAATACTTCTCTTGCAGATTGCTCTAGTCTACGATTACATCAGTAGGCTGAGGTTATCTATTGTCTCCAACACGGAAACTCGTCAAATTATTTTTTTTGTTCTGATTCCTTCGTTTTCCCAATAACCGTTATAAAATGTTTGACCTAGTTAGCCTAGAGCACTATATAGAAAAGCGATCAAATGCTATCGAACCAATTTTTTACGTCACCATTTGACTCATGAGTGGTGTTTCACAAATGTAAAATTTAGTTCAGATAATTCATCTAGTATTTTGTTCTTGCTTTACTTTTTGTCATTTGAACTGTTTTTCAGGTCATAGTTTTGTGGCGTTGTTTGAATAGTCCGTTTGAACTTTTGCGCGGACATATTGCTTTCTTCCCATTCTGATGACGGATGACCGTCCTGATATTGGTAGTGGATATTCCCTAAAATTTACATTCTGTTTTCCTCTTCAGCGAGTTCTGAAAATCGGATTATGAAAACTGATGACGAGCTAGATGTTAAAGGCAGTACTGTAGTGTCGGAAAGGATGGTGTCTGTTATTGAAGCTCCAGACTATTTGGCTAACTTCAATATCGATACGGGTGGCGAAGCAGGTAATTGTTTTGCCATGAATTCTAAGTATAAGTCGTTTTTTGCTTACAAACTGACATGATTTTTTGCCCGTTCACTCCACCCTACTATAATTATATGAGTAGTATAAGTTACGCTGTGTAAAAATATTAGTCACCGCTCCCCTTCCCATCCCAATTGAATTCCTCTAAAGTATTTTGCTTTATTGCATATTCAAAGGACTTATGTGCATAACCTTCATATGGGAGTGCTGGAAATATCCTTTGTTCTCCCACAATCCATAGTCTTATGATCAAACAGCATGAAAATGTAGTTAAATTGCCAAGTTTCTGTGGACTATAATGTGATCTCCATTTATCCATCACTTTCCACGATGGTCAGTGAGTATTAGGTATTTCTTAAACAATAACTCCATACAATTAGGTAGCCACATTGTACGTCCATTATTTTTCACTTTGATTATCATACTGGCAACGGTTTGTACGTATTGAATGTTAATATCGTATCCTATAGAAATAGGTATCTGCGTTAGTAATAGCTTAAAATTGACTTAATTATATCCTAGTAGCCGAACACTTGTCAATAAACGCCAAATTTTTGTTATACAATCTCTACGTCACATGAATGTTGTCGACTATTTGCATTTTGATTAGTTTTCCTCTATGCGTATAATTAGCGGTGGCTATTTTAATCGTCCATACTGTTTTCTAGAAGTCAGTGCACTTTATGTAATCATCAGTTGAGTTTTCAATTCTTTCTACTAGCAGGTAGATTACCAATGGACTAGGCATGACTATTATGCTCTTACTATTGTCAACCCAAGATATTAAGTGTTTTCTGTAAGTACCCATCTTAGACGTCCACTTGTTTGTAGTACCTCACCCAATAAAAACATGATTAGTAGATCATATTCAATTATTATCCACTTTTCAGGTCATTTTGGAAGCTAAATTTGCTTCCCGTCTCCCGAAAATTATCAGCAGCGAACAGTATACTTTAAAAAAGCTACTAGGGCATTTTGTGTCGAGTAAGTCCAGTTCACTCCCTAATACGACACGTTATGTTGAGTGGAGTGGGATTATTTTGAAGGAAGACTAAGAGCAGTCGAACTAATACGTAGAATCAGTCAATCAGGTCATTAAATATTGGTATAAGCCGTGTTGTTAGGTGCAGATAACTTGGTTAGAATTTGCGCGATAACCGTCACTAGTGATTGAAAGCGTCAGCCCACATGAATTAAAATTGCTTATTGTGGCCCAAATCGATTCACTCTTTGCCTTTCACTAATTCTAAAGCTTTAACATTATTTCGTACTTTTTATTCCTCCACTTTATCCCTTTTTGAACTATATTTTTCGGTGCTTGGTCTTTTTTGCCACCACTGATCCTACTGTCATTTTTACCTTAGCAGTTCGTCTTACTGTGCTAACATGGTAGAGCAACGTGAGATGATGTACGCTTACCATTCCGTATTGATTATGATCTATTAACAGGGGATCCTGAGAAATTTTAGTTTGATCCAGCTCTAGGCATTAAATAAACCAGTTTGTTAGATTGTGGTTCGTCACCTGAGATGGTTGAAGCATGTATTACGTACCCGCAACCACTACGTACCTCGACGCGCGATGTTGACTAGTTTTGGGGTAGTTTGGAAGAATACTAAGAGTGGCATAACCAATACTTAAAATTAGTCTGTGAATTCACTAGTCGTTTGTCTAAGCCATGTTGGTTAATGCAGACTGCGTAACCAAGATCAATAGTTAAACACGTTGGTTCATAATGTCTCAGATATATTAACTAGTTTTCCTCTGAATTGTGAGTTCTAGCGTACTTTCGTGGATATCTTTTCTTATCTGCTTGTCAAATTTTTTTAATGTTTAGTTTTATTGGTACAACGTTATTTCTACTCATTAACTACTCATCTTATTAACTTTATCTCATACTGTGTTGTGGCACTTTGGGCTAATGCACATTTGTCCTAGGTTCTACGTCGATTGCATTTGACAACTAATTTTAACTGAATACTCATTATTTCTTCATGTTTGATTATCCAATAGTTAGTATGCGGGATTAAGTGTAGAGTTTCAGAAGGCTGTCGTTTTGGATTTCTTCCTTTGAAGATGATACTCGAGGGGTCGTACTCCATAATACTTAAGTCTCAGACTGCTATTAGTACTTTGTGAAATAGACATTTTGTATATGACTTGTTCAACCCAATTTTTCGAATCTTTTCTACTAGGTCAAAAAATTATCATGGTCTAGAGTAAGGACATTGGTACGAATTGGAATCGCCGAATTCCTATCATTCAAAAGGACAAAAATATGTAGGGAAATAAAAATGAGCAAGTTCGAGGTACTTTCAATAGAAGGTTCACCAGGACAATAGAGGTATTATAATTCTTACATCAAACCAAGAGAAGGGTCTTTAGTGCTCGTATTAAATAGGGATTAATAATATCAGTCATTATAAACAAAATGTGGCTTAAATTCTGTTTGTACTTATTAGCTTTGTGCCTGCGATATTTTAGCTTATCATAACCAGATTTTAAATGCTACGGAGGTGTACACAAATGTTTCGTTACTGTATAGGCTTGTTTCCATACATGTTAATTCGGGTTCTTCTTTAGCTTTTAAATGTTCGTGGTACTTTAGTGTGACATGTATGAGGTATTAGCACGAACTATTGACTAACAGCATAGTATCCAGCATAAAATCTGCTATAGTTGTGCAGCCCAAATCTTAAGTTACTTGTAATTTAGTATGGATACAAGAGTAACATTCTAATTATCACAATGGACATAAGTCTTGTGTTTCTCTAATTTTCTTGCATATTATTACCCTAAGTTCATGTTTACAGAAATTAGTTCAAATGGAAGACACAAAATTGCCAGCAGTTGTTTAGACTTGGTAAATTGTCATAGTTTTGGGTTAATGGGTACTTTTTGTTCTCTCCAGAGTTAGTTCATGTCAACAGGTCTGATTTGTTTTTCCTATTCAGTCGATATCTGAGGTATTTCTAACTTTATGACATTCATTTCGCTTAACTGTTTCAGCACACTAAATTGAGCGATTGTCTTTGTACACTTGTAAAAATTTCATTAATCTGAATACTAACTGGCCTCTTGCTAACCACACTCGAGGTTTCGGTTTTGGGGACAAAAATCCAGTTTAAATAAATAGACAGTCTATACTTATTGTGATTGTATCAAATGATTTAGGATTGATGTAGGTCAGTAACTATCTGCTGTTTTTGTTCTTTAAGAGTTTTGAAATACTATACGATTTGTTATAGATATGATCTATGTGGCAATATGACATTAAGGATCCACAGGCTTACAGGTCCCCAAATATCCTGGTACGGCCGAGAGTGGGGAGAGCCCGCTCTCCCTCTCGAAATGCTCTCACATGGCCACGCGTATATAGCCTCTGCCAGGGAAGTCCTACTCACTGCCTTCTCATGGCGGGGGTGTTATTTACAAAAAATGAGAGGATGAAAAGCGAATGTCCGGCGCTTTAACCGGATCCCAAACCAATGATGCACATGGGCTCCAGTATCCTGCGGGAACAAATGGCGTATGGACCAATTTTTGGTCACCGGCTACCATGGGACTGCATCTCCTTACGATGCTCCACTGCCTTATGGGTCAGACCTTCAGGTCGAAGGCTCGGGGTGTGGCCCCCTAAGAAAACCACGTGCTTCAGTTTGGGCACCCGGGCACTATCACAGCCCTCACACATACCGAATAAGATTTGTGTGGCGCATATGTATTTGGTACCTCCTTGTACCAATATCTGTGTTAAAATAAATAAATAAATACATTAGGTGGAGTACTAGCTAAATATAGCAGATCGGTTGACCAATCTGGGATCTTTATAGGTTGTGGTAGTTCGGATGTGCCACACATTTTCTCTTACGTCTCTCCCATACGATCCTGACAGTTTAGAGTTAGGTTGGAAGAAAGCTAGCTACCAAACTAAGACATGCAATCAATCCATCAAATCACTAACTATTGGTTTTAATCATATTGTTGGGTGCCGACTCTATGGTTGAAGTCCACACAACAATACTGACAAATGATCGGAACAATAAAAATGCTTGAATTTTCCATCCTTCAAATGCTGAGCTTTGATACAGTCTTATAGTTTTTTTCTCCCATTTCACTTCTTTTTGGATCAGATTTTCTGTTTAGTTTCTTGACTATCATAGATTACAATCACTTTAATCTTTTATGTGCTCATTTCTCCTTGTTTCACTAATGTGGCATATTAACTTGTGGAGATGTATGTTCAATAAATGCTACTCTGTATCTGACACTACTGTTTTATTATACATTACACGCTTCGTATACATTTTTTCAGTGGTCTGATTTCACTTATTTGTTTAATTACTGTCTAATTACTTATTATTCATACTAATTGTTTTTTATGTATTTTTGTCTTTCAGAGGAGTCCAGTATGCCCCATTACATAGTCAATTTAAATAGTAAGCATTCATTTTTTAATGAAATTATTTCACAAGTGTATAACACAAACACTGATATGGACGCTCTAACTACACTACCAATTCATGGTCAAGATCCTGGTATCGGTGAATCATCTGTCTCACTTCCGACTTCTGACATGAATTCACCCGTCATTATGAACGACAACGTTGGTTTGATGTGTGGTGTTAATTCGACAGGGCGAGGACAGCAGTTTTTCACACCAACTATGCGTTCAAAAGCACGTGGTCGTGGACGATTTTCTTCTGTTCCATTGGATGATGTGTAAGCACTTGTTTATTTTTAGAACAAAGTTATTTGCTTGGAAGGGAATATGTTGTCGACGCACCAGTCACAATTAAAAATCCTCTTTCATATTTACCATCAGTTTGACCCTGTATATGTGGTAAGGTGCATAAAATGTTTGTAAACCTGTTAAGGTGGAAAATGGCTACTTATGTACTTCTAGAAAACAAAATTCATTGTTCTTACTGTGATCCCATAGCTGTTTGCTCACCACTCAAACCCGGCCAACAGGATTTCGAATGGATTTTATGATTTATGAAATTCTTACTATCGACATCAACTGTTTTTATTATTGGATTGTAAGCTCACCCTAGATATAACAGTGGATCATACACCAGAAAATATTATGGTGGTGAACTTGTGAAATGAACTATCAGTTCAATAAACTGTCTGTAGTGATCTTTCAAATATTATATGGCTGGACATTAGTATAATCTTTTATTTATTTATTGGTTTAATTCACAGTCTGGGATATTTCCCTGGAGTTTGCTAACTCCCCACTACGCCGGCGTGGAATATGGGGACTCCCACACATCCCGACCGAAGCTGCTACCTTGATGCGGTGGTCGGGCTTGCCTATCGTGATGACCAAACCGAGCTATATTGGCTGGAACATATGTTCCTGTAGGTTCTGCCATGCCAGGCAGGTCGATTGGAGAACGGTAAGACTAAAAGCAGCAACTCAAGGTCTGAGGGAGAAGTCGTACTGCTGACTACAGAGGGGTGTGACAGCAGTAAGGTGTTTCCCTCAGACAACCAGCATCTGCAGCGATGCTGCCTTCCCACAAGGAGGGGTGGGGTTAGAAAAGGTCGACCCTAAAAATGTCACACCTCACCTTACCTTACAGATTTCCGTCTCCGGCGGTAAGGCACTTTGAAGAACGGAGCTAATACATTAAAAACCTTCCACGAAAAGGCCGTGCGAGACTGGCCTCAAGCAGTTGTCCCTTGGGCTCTGCGGTCACGCTCCCAGGTCTTTAAGACCAGCACTAATCCAATTTCCTTTTCAGGTTCCTCAAGAAATACCCTTCCACGGTGTGGGCAGCCGGGAAGTGACACCAGCCCTCATACCCGTAACAGCACACGAGACCAAGTTGGTCACAGTCAAATCCTCCCCACACCTCCTAAGAACTCTCTTATCTCAACGACTAACCCTTCTCACGTCCCTTTATCACCTCGCACGCACACTCTAAACTACATGTAGGAGCTTTTAACGTCCGGACACTGTGCCAAATAGGACAACAGGCTTCCTTAGTTAGGACTTTAGAATCTCGCGCCATTTATGTGTGCTGCGCCTCTGAAACGCCTATACAGGATCCGAGTAGCGTCATTCACTTGACCTCACCATATCAAAACAAAAAACCATCTCGATTCACGCTTCATGTATCTGGAAGCCCTGATGCTGCTTTCCGTGGCCTCGCCGGCGTAGGTATAGCATTGAGTCCTAGGGCAGAACTAGCTCTCTTAGAGTGGATCCCAGTAGACAGTCGTTTGTGCGCTGTCCGACTTAACGGAACAATAAGGACTCGGAAAGATAGAGACACTCGTCGTTACCTCTTCGTCGTCTCTGCCTACTCTCCCACTGACTGCAGCGCAGATGATGTAAAAGACGAGTTTTACAGAAAGCTTTCTGACCTTCTCCGAAAAGCTAGGTGCTCTGATGTAGTAATAATAGCTGATGACTTTAATGTTCAAGTAGGTAAAATAAGCGAGAGGGAAAAACACCTGGGTGGATCTTATAGTGTCTTGGCTCAAAGAACAGATAATGGCGACCGTCTGTTGCAGTTATGCTCAGATAACCACCTGTTCCTTGCAAATACTAACTTTAAGCATAAGGAAAAACATCTTTTAACATGGCGACCCTCTAATTCGTCCTAACGTTGGACGCAAATAGACCACATCGCTATCAGCCACCGATGGAGGGGCTTGAATTCAGATCATGCTCTAGTGCAAGCGCGTATTTGTCTGCGTCTTACTGAACGTAGGAAAGACACTACAAGGAAACCTCTTATGGTCCTACCCAATGATAGCCAAGCTAAGAATATGTTTCAGGAACAACTAGAAAAAGCTAGGCAGCCGTGTAAGTGATGCCCATTTCAAAGCAGCGTGGAATGCCCACCCCGATGCAGCATGTAATGTTATCCGAAAAGCTGTGGAAACAGCAATGATATCTGCTAGTACGGTAACCCGTAAGGTTAGGGAGCAACACTGGATCTCAGCAGCATCTATCTCACTGATAGATGCTCGGAAACTCATACCACCTGGATCTGAACATAATGAAGAGCGGAGTCAGCTTAAGCGCAAGCTGACAAGAAGTCTACGCAATGATCATGAACAGTGGTGGGTAGCAAAAGCAAGAGAGATGGGAAAGGCAGCGGCAATAGGTAATAGCAGACAATTGTTCAGACTTGTTAAGGAAACCGGTATTAGGAAACCGACCGTTAGCGAAACACTCAGAGAAAGATGGACATATTATACATTTTCAATCTAGGAGATTGGATCGATGGGCAGAACACTTTAGGGATCAGTTCAACTGGCCTTCAGCCACACTTCGGTTTCCCACGATCTCCAGCCAACCTGAATGGCAATTTAGTGTAGGTCCTCCGACTCTTTACGAAGTTGAAAAAACCATAGGAAATCTGAAGCGAGGGAAAGCAGCAGGCCCTGACAAGTTTACTCCTGAGATTTTTTAAGGATGGTGGTCCAGTATTAGCAATGAGATTAACTGAGGTCTTAGGTAGAATTTGGGAACTGGACGTAATCCCATCTGACTGGTCTCGATCACTGATTGTGCCAGTCTATAAGAAAGAACAAAAGTCCTCTTGTGACAATCACAGAGGAATCAGTTTGACAAATATAGTATCTAAAATATTAGCTTCAATAATACTTCGACGCCTAACTAAAGCTCGTGAAAAGCAGACTAGAGAAAGTCAGTCTGGCTTTCGACCTGGACGTGGTTGTATAGAGCACATATTCACACTACGTCAGGTTCTAGAACACAGACACACGTTCAGACGCCCCACAATCGTAGTATTTCTCGACCTTAAAGCAGCATTCGATTCTGTCGATCGTAAGGTTCTATGGCAGTGTTTGTCACTGAAAGGAGTACCAAAGAAGTACATTAACCTTATAAAGGCTCTCTACTCGAACACAACTGGTAGAGTGAGAGCTTATGGCGAACTGTCATCAGAATTGATTACCTCAAGTGGTGTTCGTCACGGCTGCCCACTCTCTCCATTCTTGTTCAACTTTGTCGTCCACTTACTTTTAGAGATAACACTTTCCTCGTCTAAATTTCCAGGGGTTGAACTTCTACCGGGAGGTTCACTTGTTGACTTAGAATATGCTGATGACAGTTTTATTTGGTGAAGACGCTGACAAAATTCAGTCTTATGACCACTCTAAGCAACAATGCAAGCATGTTCGGGATGCGATTCTCCCCCTCGAAATTTAAAATGTTGCCTCAGGATTGGGTTGCATTGACACCCGAACTAATGATAGGGAGTGAAGTAGTTGAGCGTGTCGATCACTTCAATTGTCTTGGAAGTCTCATCAGCCCTTGTGGTCTGGTGTGTGACGAAATCTCAGCACGGATACAGAAGGCTCGACCAGCTTTTACCAACTTGCGTCATCTATGGCGCAGGCGAGATATCCGTCTATCAACCAAAGGATGTGTTTACTGTGCAACAGTTCGTTCCGTCCTACTTTATGGCAGTGAAACGTGGCCGGTAAGAGTAGAGGAAATTCATAGGTTACTAGTATTCGATCATAGGTGTCTTCGAAACATTGCTCATATATCCTGGGAGCATCGAGTAAGTAATGCAGTTGTTAGGAAAAGGGTACTAGGTGGCAAATCGATTGAAGTGGTGAAACTTCATCAGTTGAGATGGCTGGGACACGTGTTACGTATGCCCAACGACCGACTGCCTGGACGTGCGATGTTTTCTAGTATAGGAGTAGGTTGAAAGAAAGCTAGGGGCGGCCAGACCAAAACAGGGCATAAGTCCATGAAGTCACTGACAAGTGGACTGAGTCATGTTGGTAGGTGTAGACCACCTGGTTGGGGACCGCGAGAGGACAGCAACCGATGGTTAGAGACCCTGAATGACATGGCTCAAAATCGTTTGCAATGGCACAGGTGCATCTACTCTTTGTGTTCTCCCAAATTTTGATCTCCTTATTCCTCGTCTCTTTTTTTTTCTCCTCTCAAATTTATTTCACTGTATTATACTCTTTAAATAACATCTCCAAACACTAATTTTCCCGATTACTGCTTATACTATTATTACCTCTACCACTACGAGATTTGAATCAAAAATTGTATCTCTGTGGTAATGTGGTGTGGCAACTCGAACTGATTTACGTACGTACGAACTTCTACGTTGTTACAGACAGACTGACTGACTGACTCCCACACATTCATAATAGGCTATATATTGTTTATAGCTAACTGGAAAAAGTCTCTTACAAGTCACTTTTCACTATTAGGTATTATAAAGGGTTTAACTAAGAGGGTTGAGTCAGTCAGCTGCAATGTAGGGTCAGGCACATATACGCATCGATCCAAGTTGCCATACCTCATTAACACAACAAGATGAACACCGAATTCATAGAAGTAGTTAATTCAATGGTGGTAATATATAAAAGAAAGAGTGCATATAAGGATATAGTACAGGAAGAAAGAATTAGTTGGTAGAAAGAAAGATATGAAGCGATTTCAATCTCATTGTTTGAGGGAAGACATAGAGTGTATACACCTACTCCATTGTGATCGATTCTGAGCCATGTCACCCAGAGTCTCTAACCATTGGTTATGATAGTCGCGCGGGCCCCAACCAAATAGTTTGCATCTACCAACATGACTCAGACCAGAATCTAGTGACTTCAAGGATTGATGCCACGTTTTGGTTTGGTCGCCCCTAACTTTCTTCCAACCGTTTCCAGTACTAGTCAGCATTGTGCGTCGTGGTAATCGGTGTTCTGGCATTCGTAACACGTGGTCCAACCATCTTAGTGGATGAAGATTTACAAGTTCATCATCTGATTTACCATCATTCCCTAATATCTTGCGTTTAACCTCTCTATTGCTTACCCGGTGATTCCAGCAGATGCGAGCAATATTTCTAAGACATCTGTGATCAAATACAAGTAACTTACGAGTATCTTCTACTCTTAATAATCACGTTCTACAGCCGTAAAATAGAACAGAACGAACTGCCGTGCAGTATACTCGTTTTTTTGTTGATAGACGGATATTTCGCGTTCTCCATAGGTGACATAAGTTGGCAGTTTGGACCAGCTGCTCTTCCTCGTTTCAGAGTAGTTATAGCTTTTTGAACTTCAATTTGAGTCGGGGGACCTACTTCAATGTTGCATTCAGGCTGTTTGGGAATGGTTAGTAGTTGTATAGTAGCTGAATGCCAGCCGAACTGCTCCTTAAAGTGTTCTGCCCATCGTTCTAAATATATGGGCTGAGAGTAGATAAGAGTGTCGTCTTTTTCCAAGATCGTCTCACACTTGACTTCTTAATTCCAGTTTCTTCTATTAGTCTGTAAAGCTGTATTGTGTTTCCTACAGCTGCTGCGTTTTCCATCTCTTGCTTTCGATGCCCACCACAGCTCATGATCGTTCCTTAGATTTTTGGTTAACCTAGATCTGATTTGTTTTCGTTCTTCAGCGTGGTCGGAACCTGATGAGACGAGTTTACGAGAATCTATGAGTGCAATTGACTTAGTAGAAATCCATTTGTTTTTCGTGACCCTTTGGTTCAAATAATTAATAGATGTCACTGCTGTTTCCACAGCTGTTCGTATATCTTTCCAAGCAACATTTGGGTCAGCCTCATTTTCAGAACTACCTAATTGTGACCTCAGTTGTTCCCGGAATCTATTTTCGGCTTTCTCGTCACTCAATTAAATCCTAATGAGTCTTTTTAGTGTGGCTTTTATGTGACCAGTGAGACGCATGCAGATGGGTTCGTGTATTAGAGCATGACCGTGCTTGTTAACAATAAACGATTGTCTGAGCACAGTTGCAGCAGACGATCACCATTATCTGTTCGCTGAGCCGGAATATAAAAATACCCACCTAAATGTCTTTTTGTTTGGTTTAAGCTACCTACCTGGGCATCAAAGTCACCTGCTACAAGTACTATTTCTGAGTGTTTAGCTTTTGAAGTTCAGAGAACTTTCTGTTAAATTCATCTTACACTTCATCCGGGTTGCAGTTATTAGGAGCGTAGACAGAAACAAGGAAAAGGCAACGACGTGTGTCCCTATCCTTCCGAGTTCTTACTGAGCCGTCTAGCCGAACAGCACACAGGCGACTGTTAACGGGGATCCGTTCTAACAGTGTTCGTTTTGCCCTCACACCTAGCGCTATGCTTACACCCCCAGTCCACGAGAACTTGTCATCTGGTCGCCAGATAAACAAAGGGTGTATCTCATCGGCTCCCTGTTTTCACTAATAATTGCTCTATGATCTCATACGAACTAAATTCCGCAGCATTCAGTTTATTTATTCATTGTCAGAGTTTATGTTCAATGAAAGAAATGGGTGTTTGTTTCATCCCCATTCTGCACCTAAATAAATGCCAACAAGTTATCTTAAAACCACTTCTTTTCAGTTTATAATAAATTCATAAAACAACATACTAGTTTTACTCTACTTAATTTTTCCATTTTTTAACATTTCCACAGAATGGAAAAGAAAATAAGGACATATGAGGGAAAGGATTGTGTACAAGAGCTAGGAAAGTTGTTAAAATTATTCCCTCGCTTTAAGAGGGCCTACATTAATCGAGTTTTCACGCGGAACATGCTTAGTTACGAAAAGAGTTATGAACAGTTAAAAGAAGAAGATGATCGAGAGCGTGAAAGATGCTCAAAGGTCCGTCTTATTCAAGCACCAAAGGCCGAGTCTAAACGACGTAAGTGTTATTTCTATTCAATGTTTTCTAATTGTAATATTAATTTAAACTGGGCTTAATTTGCTAGTAAATATTGTATCATTCTGACCTCTCCACCTTCTTGTCTGCCATACAACAGCTGATAGACAACATGTGTCTAGGATATTTGTATCAGAAAAGCCTTTTGAATCGACCATAAAAATTTATTTACTAAATATATGAATATTGAATATATCATGTTATTTAAAATCGTCATCGTAAAGGTATGAGTCCAGTTTCCCTTCAAGTTGTTCGTATTGTAACTATATACTACCGATACTGGTATGAATGTTTACGTAATTATTACTATTTATGGGTTGAACTCCAGCCATGTAGTGTGTAATAAAGGTATTAGATTTCAAACACCAGCAATGACATCTTTCTATGAGGGTCAGTGTTGATAAGCATCTTTTCCTCATTATCATAACTATTTATTCGATCGAAGTAGACTCAAAATTATTAACCAATTTATGAAAAATTCATTGACTTTTTAAAAGGGAAGTTCACTAGTGCATCTGGTGAGAAGAAAGATATATATCTCAAATCAAAGAATTATTTATAGGTTCTTCATCTCTTCATTCCCCTCCAACGTTTTAGAAACGTCTCTTAAGGAAGTATGTGGTGATATCGGGCTGCTATTACTAAGAGAATATGTCACATTATCATTGTACCATGAGTTAAGTTGTATTTTGCATAAATATCGTGCGCTTGGTCATCAAAATCTGTGACGTATTGATCTCACAATTCCAAGCATAAAGTATTTTGGGAAGAATCTATATCTCCCTAACCTGACCGTATTTTTTATTCACTTTTGTTTATTTTAGCAACAGATTCGAAAACTCATAACCGTCCGGAATTACCTCTTCAGTCACAAGCTTTCTTATGTATGGGACTGCCTTTGGGTCGTTGCCCTCCCCATGTTGCCAACTCACTGTATCGTCGAGTCATTGTTACTCCTGAGGGGACCGTTGAATCCGCTGATGAACATGAACAGAAGTTTTTGGACTCTACGGGTTTATCAAGTTCTGCGCTGGAAACACCATCCTCACACTGTGAACCACCGCGTCCCAAACCATCATTGTTCACTGGGGTAAGTAGGGTTTTGTTTATGATCCACTTATAATCGTACGAAAACAATTTTAGGACTCAGAATTGTCACTTATTCATAAATAAAAAATTTACAAACCCAGTTGGTTTGTTTTGTCAGAGCTCTAACTGTTAAACACTTGTTCTTATCCAAAAGTGTATTATTGCGGTGATTTATTTAAAGTAAACTACGTATACGACATGATATTTATTTCACTCATATTTGATAGTTTAAGCAAAATGATCATAATTAATAGTGAGGTAATGCTTGGCATATTATTTTTCTTAGGGAGTAGAAGAAATTAAAGATATGCACAAAACGATTTTTTGTATTTTTAGCTGAAAATATCATCTATGTCGACTGTCTTGCCTCCGATCCACCAACTAGCTGAATTCAAACAGTCTCCACCTAGACCTTCAGAAGAACAGATGTTAACATCGGTAATCCTAAATTTTATGTTTTCATGGTTCATCTATTTCGTGGTTTTGTTAATAAATAGTGTTTTCATTTACATGCTATATCCTTTTTTACATTGTTACTTTGTTTTCCGTGCCAGGGTGTGAAAGTTATTACAATCATTAATATTGTTATTGTTATTACTATTATTACCAGTAGTAGTCGTAATAGCACGTACTACTTCTTGCAAGGTACTTCACTACTGTGAACAATGTTATGGTAAATCATTCACTTGACTTGCACTCAAAAGAATAGAGACAATTCGCTAGTATTTTTTGTTGTGAAATGACAAAGTAGAAAACATGATTAATTGTTGTTCCGTTGACAAAAATGGAAAAAATATGCATTTTTATCTTTATTGAATTTTTGAGTTATTTCAGCTTGGTAACAATTTGTTAATATCCACCTGTGTATAAGTATTGGTTTTTTTATATCTAAATGATTCATTTATATTATCCCAAGATTATCTGTGTAAACTTCTAGAACCCGGTAAGAGTATGATCTATATATTCAGAATTGATTAGAACTTTAAGGGTTGATAAACCATAGTGTGTGTAAAAGATGTTAGTTAACTGTAACGTCCTTTAGTGTAAATTATTTTCCTCGTCACTTAAATTGCTCTTCATTAGTTTATATAAAATCACAATAGATTTAAATACATTTCTATCAAAATGACTAGACGTTAATTCATGTTTGTTCTGATGACAAGTATTAATTTACTTGTTTTAGAGTTGTTTATTACTAATTTGGTAGGTTTATTTTATTTAAGGTTATCCCAGTCCAGTTCATAAATGAATCTTGCCTATACATAGGTTAATTAAATCGATGTAAGAATAAACTGTAAGCTCCAGAATTAGCTTTATATTGCTTCAAAAATTTATCTATAAAGTTCATAGAATTTTACACACATGTGGTTTTTTTCTAAAACTCACAGCTTCCTAACAATCTTTCAAAAAAATCGTCTAAAGTGCTCATTAAATAGAAGAAGAATCGTTAACTTTCTGTTCTTATTCAATAGCCTCTGAAAAGGTCTACATAAAATTCAGGTGTTTACTGTTATACATGTGAGGTTGACCTACGTCTAGGAACTTTTAAATTTAATGGACTAATAAAATAAATAGTATAACTAAATAACTCAAAATCCATGTAGGTCCTCAATAACGTTATAAATGCTCTCCTTGTTTATCACTACCGGTAAACTTGAGTATCGTTGTAAATCATATTATTTCTTATTATTAAGACAGTAATTCTGGACAAATTTTGTTAATTTCTAATAAACAATCAGCATCCTTTTTCCATAATTTCCTGCATGTTCTTTCTAAAATCCAGATTTGATTGAGTTCCCTCCCACTTTAGGATCAGGTAAGAAGAATGAAACATGTGTTCTGAGTATATTGATTTCTATGTGTACTCATACAATCGTTCTGACATTGGTTGCTACAAAATTAGTTGCTAGTTGCGTTTCTATCGTTTCTTAAGTTTATGCTTTGTCAACGATGTTACTTTTTGTTTTTTTTTCTGGATCACAATACAGTATATCTTTTTTATTTTAATAAACGGTTGATTTTCTTTTTTACTAGGATAACAATGCTGAAACATTGAATTCCGAAGAGACAACTATTCAACAATCAGGCAACAAATTCTTTCGTACAGATCATGTTAGTGAAGCACAAAAAAAGAAACGTGGATACATTAATCGCGAGATGCGAACTGCCACAGTTAGTACACCCGTTAGTCGAACTAGCATTACAGCATCAGCGGTGAAATCTGATTTGGATAGTGATGATTCTAGTAGGAAACCAGGAGATGCTGTTAAATATTTAGCCAAAGTTGGTGTTGTAAGTAATTCAGGTAAGTTAACATTCTAGTCAATTTTTAGATAGTTTAATCCCTGTATTTCCTTAGTACAGTGTGCTTAATAATGTAATTCAGTAGCAAATAGAAAGGCATGCATAAAATAGGACTTGGAATATATGTATGTTATGTCAAGCGACCGAAATTTACACAGCACAGCAGTATGAAGTTAAAAAGAGGATAGACAGAAAAATGGAAATGAAAAATAAAATTAATAGAAAACTAAACAAAATTACTTTCAAAAGAATCAGTATAGTTATGGAACAAAAGGAATAAAATATCAGTTTATAATTTTGCGGTTGATAAGAAAAGAGTATACTTAACACTGCGACCACTTTTGGGCAGCATCACTCTAAGTTTTCAGTTATAGATTTCAATTATCTTACAGAGCTCAACCAGAATGTTTGTACCTGCTCAGTCCGACAGTCATTACCTTCATGGACTGATCCCGTATCTCTGTTTTTCACCCTTAACTTTTTTTGGAGCCTAACAGCGGTTTTTGTACACTGCACATATATTACTGAATATAAAATTAAGTATTAGTAAATGAAGGTATCAATTGTTGTATTCATGCGAGTTGTGGATAATGATCAAATAACATTGGGATGCAAACAAACTGGTTCTAACCATCTACTAAATCCAGCCAGTACTTACTTGAATTAATCAATTAATTCTTCCAAAAAGTGAATGTACAATTTTAATTAATCTAACCAATTGTTTCTTTCATAAGCCATCATTTGGATAATTATACATTTTAAGTATAATTTATTGTTGAAGAAGAGCAAATCAACAAAGATAGGATCTAATAACGTTTTCCGAACTATTTTTGATGTACTTAAGGCCTATAAATGTGCAATTTGTTTATTAGCACCATATCAGTCAGTCAGTCAGCTGCAATGTAGGGTCAGGCACATATACGCATCGATCCAAGTTGCCATACCTCATTAACACAACAAGATGAACACCGAATTCATAGAAGTAGTTAATTCAATGGTGGTAATATATAAAAGAAAGAGTGCATATAAGGATATAGTACAGGAAGAAAGAATTAGTTGGTAGAAAGAAAGATATGAAGCGATTTCAATCTCATTGTTTGAGGGAAGACATAGAGTGTATACACCTACTCCATTGTGATCGATTCTGAGCCATGTCACCCAGAGTCTCTAACCATTGGTTATGATAGTCGCGCGGGCCCCAACCAAATAGTTTGCATCTACCAACATGACTCAGACCAGAATCTAGTGACTTCAAGGATTGATGCCACGTTTTGGTTTGGTCGCCCCTAACTTTCTTCCAACCGTTTCCAGTACTAGTCAGCATTGTGCGTCGTGGTAATCGGTGTTCCGCCATGTATTTTAATTTTTTCTCCCCTGACTAATATTTATACGTATTGTGTTCGAATTAACTATAAATCCGAATTTTACTAAGTATCCTAGTAATCAAATGACTAAATAGTAGATAAAGTACTTTTATCCTTCCAGACAAAAAAGATTGTCATAGACTTACAACATCTACAGTCACTTATCGGATAAGTGTGATTACATAAACCTGAAGGTAAAAAACACAAATAATTTAATTTTTCGCGAAATTTTATTGTATATAAACGTGCTAACATTTGGCGTTTAGTTTTAATCAATTATAGTGTTTATTTGCTTATGTTATGTAGTTAATCGTAAACGTCCTACACGTCGTGGAAAATCAACTCGTCAAAAATCAACAACAGAAATTCAGGGCGTCAATAACGAAACAACCACTTCACCTGCTGTCGAGGTTATTACGGAAGACGATGTAAGTCAACTGACTTTTTTGTCTTTATCTATGTAATTATGTGATAAGTACCTGGTTTTGTATTTTGATCTTCCGTCTTTTTTATTTAGGTTTCATATAATTTTACTATGTCTAAAAGCTGTTTTAAAGCAAGCTAACGTTGTAATGTCATGATACATTAACATGATTATATTTATAGTTAATTTAAATTCATTATAGTTGCTTCTTTTAAGGGACTAGGTAATTTTTCTTTGGTACCACTGAGTGTATTACTCCTAATGATTTTTTACTTCAAACACTTAATTATCAATCATTAGTCTCACCTGTAAGGTTTAGTTTTGTATTAGTTCGTACTGATATTTATGCTTTTGTTAGTCTTCGACGGAAATTCTAGGCGATGTGTTAGGATGTTTTCTTAATATCTAGCACTAATGAATCATCTAACGGAATTCAATAAACTAAATAGATAAGTAGTTTAAACTGAGGAAAATGCTAGCGTATACATATACAATGGGAGCTAAATATACCTCTTATTCAAGCTGTTTCAGGTATGAAAAAAGTTTTAGCATCTTGTACAAAATACTTTCAAAAGATTGTATCATTGTTATTGACCATGCACTAATATCTCGAGTGGAAATAATTTTCATCGAATTTTAGTTTATTATTTTGCTAAAGATAAGTCCAGGCACAGGCGCTAAATTCTAATAATGCTTATTGCTTTCTCGGTGATCTCAAATAAGTACATCTGATTAGAAAATCTATTTATTTATTTGAACACATAAATATTGGTACAAGAGGGCACCAAATATATATGCGCCACACAAAACAATGAGAATTCGAAGAAAAAAAAGAAGGTAAGGAGCGTAAAAACAAAAGAACAATAACGAACAGATTAGTGTAAGGTAGTGTAGTAATAATAATAGTAATAATGGTGGAAACGGAAAGGTACAATCAGAAAAAATCTTTCAGTTAAGGAAGTAACAACCATTTTTTTAACGAAGAAAGTAAAAGAAGTAGGTATCATTACCAAGGTTTGATTTGATAATTTCGAATAAATTTAGGATTGGGTTGATTGTTATAAATAAAAATAATATATTTCTACTCATTGGGATATTACAAATATATTATTTTTATTTAAAAGTAAAAGAAGGTTACAGCAGGATCGCCACTGGCTTCTATTCTGAGCTATATCTGATAACGTCTCTAGTCACTGTGTTGCACCATCTCTCGGACCCCAGCCAGGGAGTTGTGAAGGACCAACAGAAGCCAGCCCTTTGCAGCTTTCTTTCATCCCACGACACCATGTTACATACTGACCACCTCTCCGCTTCTTCCAACCAGTCCCAGTGTCGGCAAATAATGCACGACGTGGAATTCTCTGGGACGACATTCGTAGAACATGTCCAAGCCACCGAAGTCGATGTTTCAAGATGGTAACACCAATTTCATTATCGTCTGTGTGCCCGAACACACGATGCTGAACCTCTGCATTACTAACATGGTGTTGCCATTAAATGTCAGCAATACCTTTTTACCTCATCAATATATAGATTGAATGCTTTGTAAAATCACTTTGCATTATTTTAATCTAACTTATGATAAGACATCGACTAAAATGAAATATTAATGTTTTTGTACAAAGATGTACGTGAACATAGAAACCATTATAGTGGTCTCCAGGTGCAACTGTAGGTATTTATCTATCCCAGAAACAATATTTTTGGTTTAGTTATTTGATCCTTGAAAATTTCAAGAGTTTTGATAATTGAAGATAAATCTGCGTTACTTTTCTTATAAAAATTGAAGGCTTAAATCTCTTAAGATGGTGGTTGGAGGTAGTCAACAGGAAACCCTGGACCCGGGTTTCGTACTACTTGGCACTCGTCAGCAAGGCGTACCTGTGATCTCGAGGGAACTGGTGCTCGCTGACGGACTCGATCCCTTGTCACCCAGCTCCACAGTCAGAGACGTTATCACTGAGCTATCCGGGCCGCGACCGACCTCCTGTAGGTGGTGAATACAGTGAAATGTTATCTTGTTTTATATCTTCGTGTTTAATGTATGGTTTTTAATTCTGTTTATTTCAAGTACTTTGGATATTCTGATGTTTTTCTAATTTTTTTTATAGGGTCTTGATCTAACTAATGAAGAACGCCGTCACCTTCTATCCTTTTTTAACGATGCCGTATTGGAAGAACTCACGTTGATGCCAGGGTGTTCTCGGAAAACCGCCCAGGCTATTATCAATATGCGCCCGTTTAAAAATACGAAAGACTTGGTTTCTCAACTGTCGGGAGTTCGCCATCTTTCCTCCAATTTATATGAATGCTGTAAAGATATTTTAGAAGTTCGTTCTGCAGTTATCCGTTTACTAAATAAGTGTGAGCGTCTAACTGAACAAGTTGCTAGTCATGCGACACGTTTGCTTGAAAATACCATAGATTTACCTGAAAATGCTATCACTGATCAAAATCAGTCTGATGGAGTTGATCATGAACATGATGACTTCACTATAAACAAAGCAAATGGTAATCCTGTCCAACTAGTGACTCAACAGCCCGCTATTTTAAACCCTTTGTAAGTATGACTTAAAGTTTCTACTGAAATTTACCAAATATATTATATGATGCCTTTTGTATCTGTTTATCATAAAAATTTTTCTCCATGTATCCTAGGCGTGAATTAAAACCCTACCAACTTGTTGGTTTGAACTGGCTTCGTCTACTACACCACGAACAAGTCAATGGAATACTAGCAGATGAAATGGGCCTCGGAAAAACAGTTCAAGCTATTGCTTTCCTAGCTAGCCTTTGGGAAAGTGGAAATCGCGGACCACATCTTATCATTTGTCCAAGTTCAACCCAGGATAATTGGCAGCGTGAATTAAGTCTTTGGTGTCCTCACTTAAAAGTACTTGTTTATCAAGGATCTGCAGAACAGCGAAAAGCAATCCGATTGAAAATATATGAATCTGAGTCTCAACCGGATTTTAATATACTTTTGACTAGGTGAGTATTTATTCTAGCTCTTCCATTTTTTGGACTGTCCTATATTTTAAACATCTGGACGATATAAAAGCAAATAGTGTTGTCTCATGTAATGATATCCTACATCATATCTAGCTTTAGACATTAAAGAAGTATCAGTTTCACTGATTTTATCAATTAGGTATTTGTACCAGACACGATCATTCCACCAACGTGTTTAGATTAAGATTAGTTTTACTGTGATGTTGACTTAACGTCTATATAAGAAGTACCGTGTTTCATTTCACCAACAAAATTTCATACTATTTCGTATGTGATGCTAACCTAGTTTCAACTTTTATTTTACAGAAAGTTAATTCTAAACCTTTCGTTCCTATAATCATTTTCATGATATGTATCAATATTTTTAAGTCGTTAAAATTCTCCACCCTCCATTTTAGCTATGCTGTTGGTACAAGTGCTATTGAGGACAGAGCTTTAATGAAACGCATCAACTTTCATTATGGGATTTTTGATGAAGCACACATGCTAAAAAATATGACTTCTCAACGTTATCGAAATCTGATGAATTTTAGAGTTCAACGACGTTTACTTCTTACAGGTACACCTCTTCAAAACAACTTGTTGGAGCTCGTATCTCTGTTATCATTTGTTATGCCAGAAATGTTCCTAAAAAGCACAGATTTGCTGAAAAGGATTTTTCAGATTTACTCAGTAAGCTGTACAACTTTCTTATTTATTCATTTATAACATGCTGTCTTCTGTTTACAAAATACTGAAGAGCCACCGGTTTATACCAACTCAGATCAAGAGATTAACAGATGTGTGTTTAAAGATTATACCTGTTAACAACGAAACACTCACCTTACAGACGTATTCAGTTTGAAGTTTTCATTAGTCAGTTTTTAAATTTGAAGATGTATTATTGATTTTTTATTGAGATCATGAACCGACCAATGTTAGATCGTCATTAGGAACCTGGAAGCACTAGACGGCCGTTTCGTCCGAGTATGGGACTCTTCAGCAATGTAGATCCATAATCCCATACGCGAAGCTCGAACCCAGGATCTTTGGTCCCGTGTACGAACGCTTAACGTCCAGATCGCTGAGCCTGTATCCAACGGTGTTAATAACTACAAATAATCCATGATATTGTGCGTCCATTTTCGATTGTCTTCTGTGGGTAACTGCCTCAAGCTCGATACGGTTGGACTCCACTGGTCACAACTCACTGAAACTCCAAGAATTATCTCTCAAAGCTACCCACTAGTGAACACAATAATTATCTGCATAGGATTGTGGAAATTGTTGAGTTTTAATTGAGATAATGAACCAATAAATATTACACCGCCATTGAAAATTTGGAAGTACTGGACGATTGTTTTGTCCTAGTATGGGACTTCTCAGCAGTGCGCATCCATAATTCGGCTTGTATTTATGTTTAATCTGATTTTCCTCATTGATTAATCTAAGAGGATATGAATTACCTTAGAATAAGAATCATAGACTGATTTATATGTACCCACTCCGTATTTCAATCAATACTCCACCGATGTTTTGATTAAACTTAGAGCAGCTGAGATTTTAGCACTAATATATTACAGTATTTTCATGGATTCGCTTTGTTCTATTTTTCGCCATATAGTCGAGTCTTATTCACCGGAAGGAAAATAATTTAAAATACCAATCTTTTCACCATTTTTGTCTCATTTATTATAATCGTCACGTGAGCGATGCGAATGTTTGATTAATAGTGGTTCATGTTTTTAATTTAGTTACATTATTTGTCTAATCTTTATGAGTAACTACCTCATGTATCCAGAATCTAATGGAAAGTAGAATGTGGTAGTTATATACATCAGTGATATTTTTCTTCATTTACTGATATTTATACTAAAAGATGAAAAAGATTATCCTTTAGGTACCTCGCTTATAACATTTTCATCTAATTTATTATCTGATGTGAATTGTATGGTACTTCATTCCTATTATTTTTGTGTTTAGAAACCCATGAATTCCCGTGAGGAAGATCAGTCAGCCAATAACACTCCTATTCGAAGCAGTTTTGAAGAAGAACGCTTAGTTCAAGCTAAAAGTTTACTTCAACCATTTTGTTTGCGACGATTAAAATCACAAGTTAGTTTCCAAACATTTCGACTCTTATGTTTACAAATCTGTAGTATGATTTGAATCCATTCTTTATTTGTTGTTCTAAGTGAATCCCACTTTATTTCACATTATCGTTTATGCGCATGATGATCCCAAGTGGCACCCAGCTTTTCTCCGGTTAAAAATTAGTTATTGTATGATTATAACTAGGAAGTATTATTTATAAAAACAGCTTTATTATCATTCGGAATGAACAAAAATCAGCAGTTTCAATTTTTGTATATATACTTAAACCATATTTGAATATAGTGTTGCTTATGTGTATATATCTCGTCTTCTCATCATTTCCCTTTGCTTATTTTTGCTTCAGGTCCTCGGACAGCTTCCTCCAAAAACCAGTGAAGTAGTTTTAGTAGCAATGACGAAGACCCAAGCTACTCACTACCACGATCTTGTTAAACGACTGCGTTCTCAGCGATCGTTAAAAGACACAAACAGCAATGGTCAAGATCCCTCTCTTCTCTTAAATAATGAATGTGAAGATGGTGATGAAAATGCTGATCCAGATGCTAGTGATCCAAAAGGTGAATGTGCACCAAGAAAAAAAGCCCGTTTAGATAATTATACTACAGGTAATCAGTTAAACTTTACATATATTCATTTGTATCTCTTGTTCGCACAGGAATTAATTCTTTGGTTTGATGTATTTTAATCCTTACAATTACATAATCAACCATTCTTAGACGTTCTACTTCCGTTCTTTCTTCATAAACTATACGGATGCATTTCGCTGTAGTTGGGATTTCCTTTTTCCATCATGATTTAATTTTACAGGGTTCGAATTTCATCTGGCCTATACGAACTACTTGTCAGTAGTAGAATGAGAGATATGTTTAAACATTTCCCCGTTTAGTCCTAGTATATTTTTGAAACTAGATGAATTGCAAAGCACGTGCGACAACTATTTGTTGACATAGGTCTCTCATGCATAAATCTGTTGATGTTTTCATACTCCGACCAGTTCCTACACGTCTCTGTTTCCTTGTGAACACTGTAATTTACTTTACTAAAATAGATGTTTGTATAATTTGAACAACAGATTGTTTGTAGTTAATTCGCTATTTCGCACCAGTCATTGAGTTATTTCTTTTCATTTTAACTATTTAGTAAATGGAACGAAATCATTTCCTGTCACTTCTAAATCCATTTCTGAGTCTCTCCAGTCACCGTGCAACATGGTTACAGCGTTGCGCAAGGCAGCAAATCATCAGGCTCTTTTTTCTGGTCTTGCATACACAGATTCAAATCTTCGGGATATTGCAGAATCTTTGCACTTAGATCCAAGTCACTCTAATGCTGATCCGAATCTTATTTATGAAGACCTACTTGCAATGAGTGATCATCAGATACATAAACTTTGCCAGTTTTACGAGGTGAGTTTAACCTTGCCGTATGTTACATATTGTAATTTTTATAAATCCTGATATCGGTTGTAAGTTTCCCCTGATTGTGTCCTTCAGCTCTAAACATACGAAATCCACTATATATGTAAATACTCATTCTTAGGTGGGAAATTTCAGTGGAAGATTCGTCCACTAAAGGTATACTGTTTACGATCTTATCTGAATGTAAATGAAATAACTTGTTAGCATCTGAAATAAAAGTTACGATCAAAATGTTATAAATTGTGTAACTTAACAATGCTTAGTTAACATTTATCTTCATTTTAGCGGCAACTTATTGGTTTAGGCTTTCAACTTTCAGCCATGGAGTTCCAAACTTGAACACCGCTCCACCTACTGATATTCAAGCAACCAGGCAGTATCATTATCCTTCACACTTTGATTGTGGTTCATACTCATGTATTTAGTGAATGAGCTAATTTTACCATATGAGTTTTAAGATTCGGGTTATGTATGTTTTCTTTCTAACACCTTTGATCAGAATTTTAGATGGAATTCACCTTTGTGATTGTAGTTATAAAAAAAACAAATGTACAGTTATGCTTAATTCATAATTGAAAATTAGTGCGATTAGTGTAGTCATTGATCACTTCATGTTATCTTTAATGTAGTCTATCCAATTATTAATTAAATACTGAAGTTGCATATGTAAATTAATGGATATGATGAAGCGTTTTATGAGTTCTGTATTTTTTCAGTAAATAAAAATATGGCGAAGGAAATTATCTTTTTAACAAACTTGCTTTCATATCCATACTTAGGTAATTAATATCAGAAAAAAATTGTGGAAATTTTCTGAAATATTTATTCTGTCAGAGTTTGAATTCGACTAACGGTAATACAAGTAAATTGATTGTTTGACTGAAAGATCAATAAAAGTGTGGTTAGTACATGATAAGAATAAATTTCAATTAACTTATGTTGACATTTGAATAAATGATTCTTCAGTGTGCTACAGTAAATAAATAACGATCGCACGTATATCTTTTTTACGCATAATGTCAAATTGAACTTCTGGTTTGCTAAATAATTCGGCTGTGCTATATTTTATTCTTAATCCTTTCTGATTTCGTGATCAAACGTCATAAAATTTTATGATATATTTTAAAACTGTCTGATTGACCCCTGAGTTGACTAAGTGGTCTGTAGTGAAGCTGTATATAATTTTCTGTTCAGTTTGCGACAGTCGAGCCGAATAATGTTCAAGGAGACGTTTTACAAGTGAACATCATGGTACAGCTGACCTAATCACCGCTACGAAAGCAAGTAAACTGATAAATGTTCATTTATATTTTATTCGAAAACTAATGTGAATATATACAGAACAAATATTCATAACTTCTTAACAAGTAAAAGGTTGATATAGGTGTTCACTGAGTCCAAAATAAACATCAAGTTTTTTCTTACAATTTTTTTGACATATATGTACATAGAGCTTTTCTTCCATTCAGTTATCCATTTGACGTTGTCCCTTCCCATCATTTACAATCGTGCTATCTTTGCACGTATTTGCTTCTATCTAAAGTTGCTGTAAATGTAGGTGTTTACATGTTATCTGTAAATTTGTTTCATCTTTATTGAGGGTCTAATAAAACATTTATAATGCAGGCTTGTGTCTAATAGTAGAATCAGGGACGTGTATTTCATCGTATTTTGAACTCGTCACGTAAATTTACCTACATCCTATTGCTGATATTAAGTTGGGCTTCGAATCCGGTGCTTTTCTCTCCAAACGACGACCGGTTATTTATTGGCCTACTGAGTTCACAAAACTAATAACCCGTTCAACCGTTATGTTGTTTATATAATTATCAATAAGGGTTCAAACTATCTCGTTGATGTTCAGACCCCAACTTCGATTAGTCCAGGCTGGAGTATATGAATCATGTGCGGATTACCTTGATATAGTCATTTTGTCACAAGTTATTTACAACAGAATAGATTACTGTTTGAGATTTACATTGTATTTCTAACTGTTCGCTTTGCGACTTATCAATACCTACTGAAAATAGTATTAGAGCCAGTATTTTTAGTTGTCAAAGATAAGTTACATATCGAACTTCAAAAATGATTTAGTTGCGATGAAGTCCGATTATCATAATACCAGAAGGACTCAATGATTTCCTTTCGGTTTGATGTCTTTTTTATTTCGATATTATTCTCCGATCGTAGTCGTACATAGTTTGATTGTATCCTCGAATGCTTGACTATTCGTTCATAAAATCTGCGATTATTGATCTCAGTTTTTTATTTCGGTGTAGATTCTCCGACTTATGTATATGTCAGTGAACACTACTTAGGTGCAATAACATTAAAGTATCCATTCTCTAATTATCCCCTTAATTTAAAAGACTTCATAACTTGATTTATTCTCTTGTTTCGTAACCCTGTTAGTAATAACATCTAATTTCTCTTGACTCTCCTCTATCTGTGGTTTTGTTAACTACGGCAACTTGAATATGAGCACATCAATAAGTCGATTTTTGTATGCTTACCTTTTTGATTTATCATTCACAATACTGAAGGCAGTTGCACTATCTCATCTATAATATTCGACTTATTTTAATAATATAAGCCTTGTCATTTCAAGGAATATTATGTAAATTATTAAGTAAATAGGGCGTTACTGAAACAGATCACATTGATCAAATGGCTTTAATGGATGTCATGGTTATTGATTTTTAATTTCACTTTTTCTTCCCGCTTCATTTTACATGGGCTTGTCTACTGCTACTGAATAAAAATTAAGTAGTTTAGTTGGCTCTGTAACTACATGTGTTAAAAATTCAAACATCTTTTGCCCATAAATATAGTCAATACAAATTGATATTTAAGAATAAATAAATACGATGTCTCTTTTGACATAATGAAATGATATTTTTCTTAATCCTTAGGTTTTATCACCATATACTCTTTCCCCTGAATCGATCATTTCTGGATCTGGAAAAATCCAATGGTTAAATGACAATTTGCCTAAATTAGTCTCTGAAGGACATCGTATTTTGATTTTTAGTCAGTTTGTCATTATGTTAGATATATTAGAGGAATTTTTAAGAATAACTAACAGGCGTTATATACGAATGGATGGATCAACTCCTGTCTCGGAACGACAAACATTAATAGATCGTTTCAACAGGTAAATATTTGGTATTAATTTGTCTCCATTTCATTAGCAATGCTCATCTGCATACTAAAATTTTTATTTATTTGTTCATTATATATATATATATTCCAGTCACTATATGTATTAAAACATTGTTATTCAACTCACAATAATCAGATTATCAATTCTAGATTTAAAGTTTTATTGTGCTTGATTGAGTAACGTTTATTTCTGTTACAAGTTTTTAACTCAAACATCGAGTGCTTATGTCTAAAGAACGAAATATTCTTTTTTGCTGACCAAAATGAAAGATTTTTACAGGGAATGGGAATTATTTTTCAATAAACTTCCATACATCTATATTTACAAAATATTAAAAGGGTTTAATTATGCCAAAAAGATCTGGTTCGGAGTCAACAGTAATTAGTTCGTAAAAGCATAGGTTTATTTTCTGAGAAAGATATTTTAAGACGTAGAAAATAGAATAATAATAAACTTGGCTATCTGATTGGGATCTACCTAACTATGAACTGAAGTAATGTTCAACCTAGAGCTATAGTTCAACGTAGTAAAACCTGGCACACGTAAGTTGTCACATCACGTTAGCATAGCGCGTTGAAATTCTTAATATAAATGTCAGAGTAGTAGAGGTAATAGCTATCAGTAGAATAAAAGTCTAGTTCTAAACGATAGGATCCAAAAAGAAAAAATATTCTTGGAGTAGGAATCTGCAGGATAGTTTTTAAACTCCAAATTCAAAGGAAGACAATGAGTGAATGCATTTGGGCCACTGTTGCTGATTCCGAACCATATCATCTATAGTCTTCAACTATTGGTTACGATAATTTCAATCAAATACCCTTCATCAACGGCTGCTCAGCTGAATGATTTCACAGACTGCTTTTATATTTTAGTTTGGCCACACCTAGCCACTAAATAGATTCTAAATTTACACTAAGAAATATCAGTAAAATCTTAACTGGTTACATTAAAAAATCACCGGTTAAAATCCTCACGTTTTTTCTAGCTAAATTACTACTTATATTAAGCATCCTGAATTCACTTAATCCCCTGTACATCTTTACACAGCTCATCGATTGAAGTTTTTCTGCTATCTACACGTGCTGGTGGCCTAGGTATTAATTTAACTGGTGCGGATACTGTAATAATACATGATATCGATTTTAATCCATATAATGATCGACAAGCAGAGGATCGCTGTCATCGACTTGGTCAGAAAAAGTACGTTATATCATGCGCATATTTTGTGTTTTTCCTTATTACAAACTATATTTCTCTACATCTTTGTTTTAAAATGTTTTTTAATGTCATTGGTCATTGCGCAACACTTTTAGCCTCGTTATTGATTACGACAATCGGCTTTGAATTTTAATGATGATAGTTGCTTGATTCAGTACCATATATTTGGTTATAGTAAAGAATTCTCAGTATAAAATACATCCTATTCCTGTAAGTTGTTAAACTTTAACGTACATGCCATTTGTAGCTATTCCAACCATATATCAAATTACATTTCCAACAATGTTTATCTGCCATTCATTTTTATCTGTTTTCATCCATTACCACACTACATAATGCGTTTTGTGCATAGATCCAAATACGTTCTCTTCTTTTTTCCAAAGAATATGTCACCTATTAATGTTTCCGCTTGTTTCTTGTATATTATTGAGTATCATCGTAAACTATAGGATTTAAGTGCATGATAAGTACGTCTTAAGATTTACATGCATAAGTAATTCGTTAAAAACATGGAAAATAGAAAAACTCATTGTAATGACCATACATTTTTAAAATAGGTTCCCTAAAAGTTTAAAACCGGTTGCCGTTACCAAAATAAAATCAAAAATGCCAAACAAATGATATCACTTTTTGAAATAATCACCTTAGCCTATTTGGTCAATTGGATTCAGTAAAAATACCCAAGACTTAATCATTACATTGTGATTATTAGGTATACTGATCTCAATTGAATGTAAAAAAATTGTATATGTTTCTCAATATGGAGTATGAACGTTAGTTCATATTGGCTAATGTTTTTAGATTGCTTTAAATTTCACTATTGTATTAGAAATTATAAGTGATAGGTAATGATTATGTTATACGCCTTTTTAAATAACTAGTTTTATCTGTAAGGTATATTCTACTCTTTCATTGAATGATATCATATCATGTTATTTAAATGTCTGCTTTTTATTTTTTTTGTACTAATAAACTATCATGTTTTAATTTTCTAGTCCTGTTCACGTCATACGACTAATCTCTGAAGGTACTTTAGAAGAGGGTATGCTGCGCATTGCATCTGAGAAATTACAAATGGAGCAGAATGTAACAGGTTGTGTGTCTGAACACAACACAGAACAAACCGAGGAATCTGAAGACACTACTCGTGTTAGTTCCCGGAGTAGAAGGTCGAAGTCAACTAATATTTTACCATGTTCCAGTCTAGATGGTATGACAGAAAATGAAAATGTTTTCAAAGTCCTTGGTAATTGGAACTCAGCTGCCTCGGATCTCAGTTTATCCATTGTGAATCCTATATCATCGAATCGAATTAGTGAACGAGATGTTCGCTCCCTTCTTTCAGATGCTTTAAAATTGTAGCTATAAACATTTTCTACTTCTAAATATTCCACAATTCCTCTAAGACAAAGACCGATTGATATATTTGTTATAGTCACTGTTTTTACTGCACCGTCCCCTTGTTGTATTAGTTCAGCGAATTCAGTGGTTTGAATATTTCTGCATTGATATAAACCTTAACATGAACACATGGAAATATTCGAATTTAGTTTTTGTGAATATATATAGGATGCTGATGATGATGATTTCACGAAAATACGAAAACAGTGAAATTTGTCTTCATTCTTTACCCATGTAAATTGACTCCACTTTTTGGTAAAAAAAAGTTCTAAATTTTACCTGTGTATCATTTTTTTTCCAAAATCTATTTTTGCTTAATTTGTTATTTTTTACTTTTGTGCTTCGGTTTTTGTGTTTTCGTCTATCTTGTTGAATATCATACGCACATTGCATACGCATATTACTAATTACTATGTGAATTTAGAATTTCCACAGGTTCGTATTCGTTTCACATTTGCACTAAGTTATGGAATTATGTCCGTTTACGTATGTTTATGTGTGTACACTAAGTAGTAATTGTGATTGGATTATTGATGAGCTACAAATCACCTATAAGGTTTTATCCGTCCATCAGTCATTTTAATAGATTATATATAAACTAGAGATAATAGTAATAATTAAAGTAATTGATATAACGTGACTTAATTCATTTCTGTGCAATGTCAAGCTATGTCGCAGTTAATAATGATGAGACTCATTGTAAATCACTAAATTTAAATGGAACTATGCATGAAAACAAATTTGTGACAAATGTTCACTTAGGACGTATCACATTCAGTCGACCGATTGCAGATTGGGATTCACTAATGTCTAAACATACTAACTCAAGCATTAAGAAAAGTCATTGTTGTTTAAAATCATTATCATGTTGTAGTAAACAACAATGGAAATCATATTCGATATACTTTATCAAGTCTATATTTCCATGTATTGATATTTTGACACATTATAATTGGCGGTCGGATTTTTTGAAGGATATCTCCGGTGGTTTGACAATAGGCGTTATGAATATCCCACAAGGCAAGTATAATCTTTTATTTCTATATGATATGAGCGTAAGTAAGAGACTTAGTCATATTTCTTTCAGTTCATTCAACTTCAAAGATCTTACTCGTTATATTTAACTGTAATCTCGAAATTGGGAGCTACTACGTCGTTTCATTTTTAATCATCTGTTTGGTTTACACGTCAAACGCTTTTTAAAGACAGGACAAAAACTTTCAAATTATATATCACAACAGTGAAATGGTTACGGAGATTTTGGCCAAATACCCGATGAAATTACTGAAAATCACAAATCCAACTTATTGATGATCGCTGTTGGATAAACGAGCTATTATTTCTTCTGAAATAAAAATTAAGGGTGACACTTAAAGATGAACCGAATTGCAACACATCAAAATTTTCTCATTGTTAGTCAGTTAGGTGACTTAAAACTTACTAATTCTGAATTCACATATTTTCCAAGGAACTCCCGAATCATGCGTCAAGCATTGAAAGCGTAAATAATCGTTTTATTAAAACACGCATAACCTTATATTTGATCTATTTTTGATAAAAGGTTCGTTACAGGAGAGAAACGATATTACAATACAGTTCATTCGTACTTCATTTTATGCTTTTCGTTAAGATAAGCCATTTGATGTATGTAATGTGTTACGTCGGCATCATTTGTTATTATTAATAGCTTTAATGAGTCAGCTATTATTGTTGGTATTTGACCAAAACAAGTTGTGCTGTATCTTTTGCAGTCATAATATGCTTCTTTTGTAAACTGGGAATCTAGTAAATTTCAAAAGAATTACTAAACAGTTCGAAGGATTCACTTTTAATGTATTAGATGTTAGTAGATTCTGCTTTTGTCTGTAGATAGTTTTGAACCATAAAAAGATATAAGTAATCTTTCCTTATTCGGTCACTAATTTATATCTAAAAACTACGAAGATTTTATGTCTGATGTAAATGGTTGGTCAGAGCATATTGTTCTCATTGTACTTCAGATTTCATTTATTACAATATGTTATTTGAATAATGCTGGCGTATTGTAGTATAAATGGTGTAATTATTCTCTAATGATAAGAGAGACTGACTCAGGTTCTAATGTTACATATTACATATATTTAGAATTTGTGCACGTTAGTGGTAAAGGCTTCTGTACTTTAGAATCTGTTATATAGTAAACAAAATATCTGCTGATTGTAGCTCTTTATAAACCCAGAAATACAGTTTTCTAAGCTCTTATCTTGATACTCATGCCGTAGAGTCGTTGAGTGTCGTAATTGAGCCATTCGTAGCAGTGGTGTGAATCTCGTTCCCATAGTATATGAATGAATGCTCCGAAATCGCGTAGACGGCAGCTGTTAAAATATGCACTCAGTGTAGGGGTAAATAAATAATTTAGGATATAAAAGTATGGTATAAGATAATGTATAACCATACTTTAATGTGTGAGGTTGATAGCTCACCGTTGTAAGATACAGAAACAAAGTACCCTCACTTATGTGCGAAAACGTAGGTTTTGTATTTGTTCCAAGTTCATGTAGCAAATTGGTTTAATAGAAATCATTTATTGTCTGTACAACAGTATAGAGTTCGAATCTAATCAACGACACAGCGTATTTATCTATGGTAAAAAATAGTGCGGTGGTTTTGTTTTAACCAAAAGAAAAATAAGGTGTTTATTGCTAGTTTATTCTCATTCATATCATTCTCAGAAATAGTGAACGTTTTTAAAAGTGTTTCAACGTAGTATAAAATAATTTTGAATTGCGGACACTTTTATTTCTCAAAACTTGTTGATTACTAGTAATAATTTAGCCAAGAGTTTTTAATCTAATCATGTTAGACTGAAGTTAACAGTTTCTAAGTGATTCACTGTATGATTCTCATGACAACAAATCAGTATTATTAGTATACAATAAATTTTGTACAGTCTAATTCATAAACTAATAACCTGTCTTCGTAATATCTAATGAAAAAATCACGAATATATAAAAAATAAGGTCAAACGAATTAATCAGACTGACAATCCAAATAATCATGAAAATCGATAGAATGAAGACTGTAGTACAATTACAAGTAAATCTGAGCTACTAATAATTCTAATTTATTGTTATACAGTATTAAGAATACAATAAATTTATTTATATACATTTTACATGGGGAGTGTTGGATAACAATTTAAAAGAGCTATTCATATCAACCATCCGATTCGTCTCACTGATATATTTTGTGATAGATTATTTTAAGCGTATGTGTAACCAGATACTTTAATTCTCTGTATGAATCATTTATGAGTGTTCTTCAAGGTGATTACTTACTGCTACAAAATAGTCATCTTTCTGTATATGTATGATGAAATGCACATATCAACTAATAATCGCAGTTCGGTATGATGGTCCAGTGTGTTATATTTGTAGTGAAGGAACACTCATGGGTTCGGTCTCCGGAGAGGTCACAGATGCGCTTTACTGTGAACTTAATAGCAAGATGAAACGACTATCCGATGCTCCTTAGTTTTCTATGATACCTCAAATAAGATCAATATATGTATGTAAGGTCGTCCGTGTGCACTGCTGACGGTTCTAAAATTCAGACTAAGTAACTCTAATATTTTGACGATATGAAAAGAGTAAGAACAGCTATTTGAGCAAATCAACGTGAATTTCATTTATTTTGTTAAGTTTTCACCAGTTGCGTAGATCTTGCATGGAAGTTGATTTAAACATGTACCAATATGATTTAGTAAAGATCTGAACAAAGAAAAGAACATGTCAAGAAAAATCAATGACCTATTTGTACCCCTTTCATGTTACAGGCAAAAATATGTATAAAGACTTGTGATTTCCTGTTTTTAATATTCAGGACTTCAAATGAACAATGAATAACGTGTTAGTTTAAAGTAAAATGTACTGACTCGAAGTTTATGTGAACATCAATATTGAGGTGCGGGTACACCAAGTTGATAAATTCCAACGCTAGCAACACGCTAAATATATTGGAAAGCATATTTTTTATACTAGTATTTATTCCATGCTTTCTAATAATAAACATGATGTAGGAGGGGTAGGATAGTAGAATATTGTGTTCTTTTTAAAATTTCAGGTATGGCGTATTCATTACTCGCTGGTTTACCACCTGTTTATGGATTGTATATTGGTTTTTTAAGTCCATTGTTCTATGCAATTTTTGGACGTTGTACACAATTTTCTATGGGTAAGTTTTAGTTGATAATCAATATGAAAGTTTAGTTATGTATGTTTCTATGTTTCTGATCCATATAGCCTTATTTGGTGATTGAGTATATTAATCAGGTTTTCAGATTATTTATTTCTCATGTCTCTCTAGCACTCAAATAAAATACAAGTGAAATTTTGAATTACATTTTTCTGACTGTTCTTATTTGTTGAGAGATGGATATGAGGGTCGGTGATTAACCTGCAAACATACATAGGTAATCAACTGTATGTGAAACAATTAAAAATTCACGTTCATTAAATAAAAATAGTGATTTTTGGGTCTACTTGTTATAGATTAACTCAGTTGGTGTACTACTAAAAACCACGGAGCATTGAACGACTGTTTCGTCCTTACACGGGGCTTCTCATCAGTGTGTGGAGATTTTTTACTAGTCGGAAGTGAAGCATTTGTCACCGATGACACTGGTTGATCGTTACTCTCTATCTCAAATTGACTGAAGTAGAAATTTTACTATTGGATTCCAAACCAATGGTTACAGTAGTTAAACGTGTTCCAGGAAACCCGGAGATCCTAGCTCTAAATCCTGTAGTGGTTGTGGGTGCACACTTCTGGGGGGCGTCATACTAGGACAAAACAGCCGTCCGGTTGCCTTTGGGTTTCGATGTTACCGTGGTGAACGAACACACCGGTAGAGGAAATCAATGCATTTAACACAAAATTACAGAATGTCTCCGTAAAGTATGAGAACCATACATGAAATACATTCTGTATTATACAATCTACAAATTAAAACAACCTCCACAAAAATCCTTCAATTAAATGTGATGACCGACAGCCACTACATGTACCTGTTTTCAGATTCATAAATGCTTTAAACAATTAGCAATGATTTCGTTCAAAGAAGAAAATAGCTGATATTGATTGATAATCGTGTTTTTCGTAAGAATGTGATGGTTCCAGGTTTAATCTGATGAGTGGTCGTGGATGTGGCCTGTTACTGAGTTGTCTGTTATGTTTTGACAGTCACCCATAGTTCTTCATAGTTTATTTGAAAAGTGAGGTATTCTAATTTTCTCACATACGACCAACGATGTGTTCTGTATTGTGTTTGAAGGTAGCTGGAAGTAAACCATAGATTTCAGTTTTGTGCAAGTTGGAACTCATAACGTGGGCGTACCTGAACTATTGAAGGAACTAATGGTCATTATGGGATCAGAGCTTAAGTTACACAAATTTAAAGTTCAAGATGTTACCAGTGAACTATTTTGATCACAAGTAAACTGCTGCCGAACATCTTATTCTGTCATTTGTAGAGAAATTCTAAGAGCCCACTTCTCTTCTCGTGTTTGTACTACTGTTTTTATTTAAGAAATAATAATGGGTTCACAACTGAATCCTACATCTCCGAGATTAACAGTCTTATCAAACTGATGCATCCTAGCTACAGATCGTTGGACTTATTTTCATGATTTTCACTTTCTCTCTAGTCGATATTAATTCATGAAAATCACCAAAAAATAATCAGCGTTTTCCACCGATCATCTAACTAAACTAATTCTTCAGATTTTTATAGTGAAAAAATGACTGCAAAATTAATGCATATACTAAAAACTTCATAATATGTAAATTAATTCCTTTGCTCATCTGCCAAAACAATTTAGATTTTACGTGTACCTATGTTCGAAAGGTAACGTATTTTTCAAAAAAACATTAAAAAACCGAACCTAAGTAACGTCAAACATATATATATATATATATATATATATATATATATATATATATATATATATATATATATATATATATATATATATATATATATATAACGCTAGTCGTCAAACGTAAATTTGTCTGCTTTTTAAAATCTTATATGATTTTTATCGAGTAATTACATAAGTACTTTAGTTTATGTCACACTGATAGAACTCTATGATTTAAAATGAATAAATGTATGGAGTTAATAAGTAAATATTCATTTCAATTTGTAGTAGTTTAGATATTGTTTTACTTCATACAATAATGTTAACTAGTGAATCACTCGAAACGAGAAGGGATTGAGCAGATGTTTCGTTGTTGTCCTCTGCATTTCAAACTTACGATAACACAGTCATTCGGTTAGTTAACCAGTCACAATGTAGAAACTGATACATATGTACGTCCGTTCAATTTACCATGCCCCATTAGCACAGAGAGATGAAATTGTCAGGCCTAATCACAGAATAGTAAAAGTAGTAACAGTAACAGTAGTAATAAAGGAGATTAGGCATCAAAGATACTATGTGAGAAGAAAATATAAATTGGTGAAATAAGGGAAAATATTGAGAAATTTATAATCTCAGAATTCTAAAGACGACAAAGAGTGGATGCACCTATGCCATCGCAAACGATTTTGAGCTATTTAATTTAGTCTCCAGCCATTAGGTACAATAAACAAGCGGACCCTAACAAGGTAGTCTACTCCTATTAACATGGACTGATACTATGTTTTGGCTTGCTCGCCCCTGGTTTTTTCCCGCACTAGAAAATATCGCCCGTCGAGGTAAGCTGCGCTTGGGTGTATATAATACATGTCCCAACGAGAACTATTCCAGAATTCGATTAATCTGCACAAGAAAACACCTAGAAACACCAATCATATGAACACTAATGACTAATTTTCAGGAACATTTCAGGAGTTCCATCTGGGTGTCTTGGCTAGTGCTTAGCTGTGCTGAAAGTAAGATAGATATAATCGATTCTGTTGTATAATCGTCCGGTTGTATTATAAATTAGATGTAATTGAAGCTGTGGATCATTCGAGAGTGAATCAGTAATATATCTAAGTGTAACTACATCGCCTTGATTCTTAAAAATCCTGAATTATATCTGTAATAATGTTGTAGCTGTATATTGTTAAGAAGCCATGAGCTAGGACGAAATATCTGTTTACAATACTATTTAGCTACACTGGTTCAGCAACTGAAGTTAGTCTATAACTAAATTATTTCAAAATTGGATAAATATCCAGGAACAAACAGTTAAAAGTTGCTTTTTAGTTTAAAAATATGATAAAAAACTAAATAGGGAGATGTACTGCTTTTCTCTCTTTATGTTCCATTAAAATCCTAATGGTGTAGTATTCCCCATTGAAATTCGTATTTTGAAACAAGGTAGTTGGTTGTTATTCAGTAAATCATAAAACTACGATTCCCAAAATGATTTTGGATCAGTCAACTGAAGTATATTTTCATCCTAATTTCAGTCAAAATGTACTGTATATGAGTTTTTTTCTGTATACTTTGAATTATTTTATGGATCCTAAACTTAGGAAACAAGGTTTATACTTGAGGTTCTAACGTCGATCTTATTTTAGAAGGTTGAAAATAATCTTTAACGTTAGAACTAATTTTCTTAAAAAGATTTATCTTCCAAGTTCAGATGAGATTTACTCCAATCGTAGTTTTAAGTGTAATGCTAAAACTCGAACCTTATATTTCTAGCCTATGGAGGTTGATATTATCAATGTTCAGAATTCGTTTCAACATTTCAAGAGGGTAGATATGGACATCATAAAACAATTGTCTATTATTTCTTGGCATTCATCATTTATCTAGTTAAGTTTGCTCCATGAGGAAAATCAACTGATTAATCAATACATGTTAAGCGATTACAAAAATCAAGGCCCAGTTATTTCCAATAACACAGTAATATGAATAAACTTGTTTTCTTTTTTATAGTTTATCCAAAACCATTTCGGTGCTTTAAAACAGATGATTATCGTCTCCTTTTTATATGATAGTAGAAACGTTAATGGTATCGTTTTTATGAAAGTCCCAGGTGTAATGCATCACCTACTTATTTAAATAGATAAGTGGAATGCTTTCACAGTAGAATTCAATATGAATTCGACAAATGGTATCGATGAACTTTCAATGACCGATAGGTAGAACTGGTTAAGTTATTTTTGCTTTTATAACTAGCAGCGAGTTTCAAGAGTTAGCTCTCTGAGTTCTCATGAGAAACAGAAACCAGTAAAGTTCAACCGTATCGAATGTGCACCAGTCACCTATCAACGATATGGGAATGTGCTTGTGAAATGTCACAAACTGGTTGAAGTTAAACCAGCAAATCATTTGATGCCAATTCAATGATCTAACAATTAAGCAGTCGTCACGATATCTGAAGGTACTTGATTCGATTCTGAGTTGGCTTGTGGATATTAGGATGAAACAACCATCTAGTGCTTCCTGATCTTTAGTTATTATTTGACTAAGATTAGTTCGTGATGTAAACCACAAAAATTTATCAATCTCCTCAAGTCATTACATCAATAAAATAATAAAAATTTAATCAGAGAGGGTTGTTTTGGATATTATGGTTTTCCATGGTGGTCTAGCTTTAATTGACTCATGAATTCAACTAATAAGAATTTCTTTCATAACAAATATAATAATCTTGATTGAGATCATGAACCGATTGATGTTAGACCGCTACAACTGAAAACCTGGAAGCACTGGACGGCCGTTTCGTTCTATTGCGCGACTCCTCAGCAGTGCGCATCCACGATCCCGTTCGCGTGATTCGAACCCAGGACCTTCGGTCTCGCGCGCGAACGCTTAACCAACTGGACTTCTGTGCCGGCATCCAATGGTGATAGTTTCAATTGTGGTGGTCTAACATCAATCGGTTCATGATCTCAATCAAAATCTTAATAATCTCCACAACCCCTATACTAGAAGTATAATAATCATTGACAATATATTTTATCCAAGTGAATAGAGCTCATCTAGTATGAACGTGCTAAAATAAAATACACCTTACTATACATGGGTATATAAATACTTACATGTACATGTAAATCAATCATTCAGTAAAACTGTACAATTGTATAATACATTAATGTTAAATCATTAGATCAAACTAAAGATAATCATGTTAAATCAACAATGGATTAATGCTTTATAGTTAATTTCTTATTAATGATTATCAATAATATGACTTTTATATACATACTAAACAGGCATATTAGTTTATACTTATTTTGGTTCTAGTCAAATTATTTATGAAATTGAATAATTCTATTCGAGATTCTTTAATATTTCTTAAAAAATAAGATCTCATTACAAATTGTCATTAACAAGAAAATTATGAAAGATCATAAAGCATTTGATAAGTTTTTTCATTTTAGTTCAGTGTTTTTGTTGTAACGGGTGTGACTGCAGGTTTTGATAAGCAGCGTTTTATCGATCGATCACAGTAACACGTAAGGACGACCTAGTGCCCTGATTGGCCCTGCTTCGCTGTCTGTCCTAGTCAGTTGAGTCAAGAACACAAGTCACAGCCTCTGAGTTATGAATCATTGTATTTCAGACATACTCTATTTATATACCAAACAAACAAACCACACCGTACCATAAAATAGAGAACAACATTTACACAATATTTAACAAGTGAAATAAACATCGACCAATAGGAAATGTACATTTAAAGTGCAAGGCCACCATAGACTTAACACGATAATTATTGGTATATTTTTCCGATTATCCTAACAGTTTTTCAATAATACACACTTACTACTCCAATTGAAATGGAATATATAACTTCAAGTTTTTATGGTGTTCACAGTAGTATTTATGTGAAATATATACTTCAATGGTTCAAACCTATAATAAGACGATGTTTTAAACTTTAATGAAAATATTTGGAAACTTTTCAGTGTTTTATTTCTAAGTATTATACTTTTAGGTATCTAATATTTCTCAGCAACGTTATCTAGCTTTCTACGAAATTTTAAGTTCATCGATTGGGTGGGTTTTGATTGCACACCATTGAAGAGTTCAAAACTGTGGTAAAATAACTATTTTTTTTGGATTTTCTCTGTTTCTTCAGCTGATATTACTTACTAATAAAGAATTACTCTGAAATTGTCTAACAGGTAGTACTAAGTAAGTAATACAATGTGCGGAAAATACGATCAAAGGACGAATAAAACTGTCTTGATTCATTATCATACGTTTGATTACAATGAAGAAACCTTAGCACGAAATATTCAGTATTACAATGACACTGCCTTTTTTCACCAATTAATCTGTCAATATTAAGAAAATATGCGTAAAAGGCTTTTAAATAGTAATTAGCTATCATTCATAGTCATTCCTAAATTATTTGTAACCATTCTTGTTCTCTTGAAATCTCTTTTCACTGTCATATACATTTGGCGCATCAATTATACTATAAAAATTTCATGCAGTTGGTTCCCTTTATGAATTTAAATAAAGCAAGAACAAATATTGGTGCAGAATAGTATGAATTCATACTATTCTGCACCAATATTTGTTCTTGCTTTATTTAAATACTATAAAAAGTAGGAAAATACATAAATCACAGTGGTTGTACTTTTCGAGTTTCTCACTAATTAGATTCTCCATAAATTATAAACACTCTAAAAAAGAACGTAAGGACATGCAGTTAAAAGACGTGATTAGTTACTTAAAGCAACTGTTTAACAGAGAAATTGATGGAAGTAAATGCACATTTGATAAAATGGTAGTACGATGGCTTGAACAATACACTAAATTAAGAGACCTTTTAAATTCATATAGGTTTCAGTGCTATTACTTAGGTTTGTTCATGCTATACTAATATTGAATATCATATTTAGGTACTATTTACACGGATATGAGTTAATTACTTCTCGAAAGAATTGACCGATTGCCGTAAATTAATGGGGTGGGATGGTTTTATGAATTAGTTTAAACTACTTGATAGTAGTATTAGATTGCAGATTTAATTTTGAAATGAGGAGAATTTCCCCATCTATCAAATTTGTTATATTTCTCACTTTGTAAACGAATATTAACAAGTGATAGCCTCATTAAAGAAATTAAATTTAATGAAAAGAAACTATGTAAAAATTTTATTTTATCTCCAATCGACTTTTTATGTTTGGGAGAAGTCGGCATGATATATTATCCATCTTAGTGTTTGTGATTAGTGATATTTATTATTAAATCATTTATGTAATGTCAAGGATGTGATATTTTGATAATAACTGAAACAGTCATCCCTCATTTCAGCATCGGGGGATGTTACTACAGCTGTTCATACGACGAATAACTTCACTTAATAAAATGCACCGCTTGGTCTCCAAGGGATAATCAGTGTAATAATATCTAAGTTTTAATTAATGACAACCGAACAGTATCAACCAGTATAGTAATACGGTAATATCTAATCCGAAGTCAAGATATTTAGATTATTAGCAATATGGTAATATTAACTAGTAAAAATCGAGGCATATTAAATAAGATTTTACATCTTAAGTTTATGATAATGGTCGGAAAGAAAGTTTTTTTCTCTGAATTGTCTTCATTCTTCTTTGCTTATAAAGCTTGTAACCTAAGGCAATATCAAGGCAGTCCGCATAGGATGCACATATGCCAACAAGAGACTGACCAATTACAGTCCTAAATAACAATGGGAAGATACAGGTAAACAACACCAAGTGAATTTTTCTTTAATCAGTTTGAACTGAATTCGCTGAAATGAAAGGAAATGGATATAATCGGGCTTTAATTAAGTAAAGGAAGTCAATTAAGTGATGTTTTGGATAAGTGACTCTTTGAATTTCAGTTTTAGAAAATAATTATGATTTTATTTGGAATTAACTTTACTCATATTTTCTTTGATAACTTCAACTAGTTTTAATCTAAATTCCATAGTGAGTTGAGCAAATATTACACTACTATATAAGTGAATGTAAATAGAATTTATTCAATATATGAATTACTTTGATCAAATACTTTTGAGAAAAGACCTTTTTGTTAGCATAAACAAAGTAATTTGATTGATAAACAAGGTTCAGTACTGTTACTTCATTACATTTTATGCTCAGAAATGTAGAAGGCGGATAAACAGGTGAACAATGAAGTTTTCCATTACGAAATTATCCTAATTAAATAATCACTAAAATAAAAGAAATAACAGTTAACTGTTTGGCCCTACCAGAGAACAGACATAAGACGAAACAACTATTTATCACTTCCTAGTTATCTAATCCTTCTGCTGATTACATTCTGTTGGTTACTCTGCAAAATAACAACCAGACTAAAAGACTCAACGGTTGTCTCCCCAGGTCTCTAACTGTGGTACTATGTGATAAGGGTTCGAATTCAAATCACTGTGTTGGTTCTCTCGAAACTCTATACTTTGTTAAAAAAGTACTAAATAGTACAGGAAGTAGATTTATAGTTACTCACTCATTAGAATGACGTAATTTCAAGTAGCCTCCATTTTTGATGATTTAAGTCACATGCACAACTACTGAAAATGAATTATTTAAATATTTTACGAATAATATGAGTCAACTAAATTTTATCGATATCAAAATATGAGTAAATTGGAAAATCAAACACAAAATACAGTTGTTCTTTATACTAAAAAGTACTGATAATAATTTACAACGAATCCAAGAATTGCGATCAATCGATTTATCAGGATGTCGTGTTCTGTATTCTTGAAAGTACAGAGTCATTTCAAGGTATAGTATTAGTACTGATCAATCATATTGTTCTATAAATGGTTCATTATAGAGCTGATAAAATTCTCATTGAAAATCTTCAATATCTATCTCGCAATAAACTAATGATAATTTTCGTTGAGATCACGAATTAATCAATGTTGGACTACCATTGAAAGCCTGGGAGTAGTGTACCACCGTTTCGTTCTAGTATGGGACTCCTCAGCGGTGCGCATCCACGGTCCCATACGTGTGACTCGAACCAAGAACCTTCGGTTCATTGTCTTCGGTAGTGGCTTCCAGGTTTCCAATGATGGTCTAAGATCGATCGACTCATGATCTCAATCAAAACTCAACAATCTCCACAACTCTATACTGATGACACTTTCCATATTATGTAAATAGTGGTAAAATACGTTATAAGTTTGAGATGTTAGGTGGTTGGAGGAAGTACTGGTTAGCTGTTTCATCTTAGTATGCAACTCTTCAAAAGTGGGTATCTACGACCACATTGGGAATAAAAACCGAGATTTGTAGGTCTGATAGCAAATGGTCAGTCATTAGGATTTATTATACCTTAAATTTACTATAAATAACTGTTTTTATTTAATTTAGGTACATTCGCTGTTGTAAGCCTACTGATTGTTGGCCCAATTGAACAGCATAGTTCAAAAGTCGCAGTTAATCATCATAATTCCATCATAAATTCAAACTCTACACTAGTTGAAGATATAATAACTAACAAGTTGCCACTACAATATTCAGAACCAAGAGCAATTGTAGCCGTGACGCTTACTTTCCTAGTTGGAATTATACAAGCAAGTTTTAATATTTATTTAATTCGAAGATTTTAAAGAAATCCTCAGTAATCTTTATTTCAACGTTTTCAACTACTCAACATGATTAACTGTTCTCTTAATAATGATTTTTTGAAAGATTTTCACACTGGGTACTTTTCAAATACATCCCTGTCTGATTTTACTAAAAAAACTGGTTACTAAGTAGATTGCATTTAGTAAATCTGTGGAAATTTAGTTGTTAATTAAGTTATTTTAATAATTTAAGTCAGTAGACTGTATGTAAATGTAAAATGTAAAAAATCTCCGATACTTAGTTCATAGATTACATAACAGATTTGTCTTAAACAATAATTAAAAAAATCATGAAGTACTGGGCAGTTATTTCGACCTAGTATGGAATTCCTAGACAGTGAATATCCACAAGCCAACTCAGAATCGAATCAAGTACCTTCAGATATCGTGACGACTGCTTAATTGTTAGATCATTGAATTGGCATCAAATGATTTGCTGGTTTAACTTCAACCAGTTTGTGACATTTCACAAGCATATTCCCATATCGTTGATAGGTGACTGGTGCACACTCGATACGGTTGAACTTTACTGGTTTCTGTTTCTCATCAGAACTCAGAGAGTTAACATTTGTAACCAGTCACTAGAATGCATACGATAATCGCTAGTGGGGGTTTGTAAATTTCATGGAAACATAAGCCGATCCCGAATTCGATTCCTGGTCGAAAAGTCTTGGATGCACATTGCTGAGGATTCCGCGACCAGGAAGAAGCGGACGCCTAGTGCTTCTAGATTTTCAGTGGTGGTCTAACTAAGACCGGTTCATAATTTCAATGAAATTCAACAATCTCCACAGCTCCACACTGAAAATACTTTAAATATTTTGTCACCTACGAATTCATGTAGTAGCACAACTAAAATAACCGAAGGTTTCTGAATGAGGTGTGTCATTTCATTGAAGAAGCTTGTAATTACAGTTCGTTACTGTTTTATAATCCAGCTCTAAAGGTCTTCATTCTCAGTTATGGCTAACCAGTCAAACGTTCGTAAATATCCTACAGCTTCTTTTTACGACTGATATGATGAAATTACACTGTTTGTTGACTGGTTAAATAAAGATAGGGTGTACCATGATCAAAGTAAATGATGGTAACGGATATAGAAAAGATTTTATGGTTATTATAGTTATATAATAGTTTTATAATATACCCTTGTGGGCCAGGGCAATTTTACATTGGTTTTCAGGAGAACCAGACACCATTCAGACTTTCACATGACAACCCAAACAGTACAGCTCAATCCCGCTTCACAGGAGAACCGGACACCGTATAGGCTTTCACGCTACAATCTGAATAGTACAGTTCAACCCTGTGGTGCAACCACACAGGTACGAAGCACCCTGATGGAACATTCTCACCATTCATATACACATTCACGTCACATGTATAGTTATTCCAATCAATGATCGTGTGAATCAATTATGCACAGCACGAACAGGCCAAAATTGACCTATCCCGCTTACATGACAGTCAAACTCAATAATGTTAGCAATGGTGACATGCCTTACAATGTCCAAATGACAATGGCCCTTGAGAACACTGAAAAGCAACCACCAGTGTGAACGAAATCGGTTAACCAGCAAACCAGTTTTGTGCATGAACAGTCAGCAAAACTCGCCAAAGCAATGTCGAACCATCCACAATACCAATGGCGAACCTCCGGCCTCATATGAAAACTTCAGCTTCACATAGCCATATAGCTTATTATGGTTATTAACTTATTTAATTATGGACATAACAAACAACTATGTGCATAAAGCATGTATTACCAATGGCGATGGATAACGGTTGCGCAGCTTTGTGAATGAATACAAATTAGAAATGTGAACTAATGGGTGCATTCTTACTTAGTTTAAGATGGCTCTTCAAATGGGACTCCATATGTTTAGGTCAGTCAGTGAACAAGATGCCGTTTACACCACTCAGTCGACATTAACGAATTTCATTAGGTTTAAAATAGCACGTTTATATCAGCCAATACAATAAGCGATAACTGTATTTCTTATGGTAGTTGGGATTATAAACCCGGGTCATTACGGGTGTAGATTGAGTAAAGATGATACTTCTGGGTTCGATTTGTCATGCATTTTTTAGTCCACAATTATGACTTATTTATTTAATACTAATGTCAGAGGAATGAATCTGTTGTTATTATTATTATTATTATTAATAGTAAAATTTAATCAGAACCTAAAAGTGATATATATATATATATATATATATATATATATATATATATATATACCATGAAAGACAGGTTCAATACAAAATCTCACTATAAAAATAGTTCATAGATAGAATTTACATTTGTTTTAATTCACTTCCTTTATAATTTAATATGGTCTAATAATTTCAAAAAATCAAGTATATTAAAGTATGTAGGTTTGTAATAGTTACTTGTAATGCGCATATTCATTTAAAACGGGAGATTAAACATAACCGGAAATGGATCGTAGGTTAAAAATGGATGAATGAATTTTAAATCAGTGCGTCTGAATCTGTTCAAGCTGACATACCAGATCCACAGGGTCAGAGTATAGAGATAAATCCTACAGTAGTAGGAGTAGCATTAGTATCAGTAGTAAAATAAAGAATTAGGCCTTGACAGCGTGATTCGAGAAGATAGAATCGATTCACAAAACAAAATGTATATGGTAATTTAGAAACTCAAGATTCAGGGGAAAGAAAAACGTGAGTGCATCTGGGCCACTACTACTGATTCTGGGCTATAACGCCCATCATCTCTAACTATTGATTGTGGTCGTCGAGTGGAGACCAATCAAATAGTCTGTACCTATTAGTACACCCCATTCCTGCAGTCACTGATCTCATGAAGTGATTTCATATATTGAATTGGTCACCGTTAGCTTCTTATAATTTATTCCCACATTGAAATCGAGGTTCGAACGTTTTGGGCATAATTAACACATTTCTTTATCACCTCATTTGATAACGGTCCATTATCACTGCATAAACCGATTTTCCCTTCTAATTGGTACTTTGTTTCTAACTTCAACATTTTTTAATCAGTGGTCCCAAAATGCACAAGCAATTCTTCGGGTGTATTTGTGATCAAATACTTATAACCCGTGAATTAATAGTGGTAGATTTTACTGAAAAAGAGTGACAAAAGTTTTATAATTTTACTGTATAATCAAGTATTGTAATTTAGTTTAATGAAAGGAAATACATTTAAAACTCTATTTTCGTCTCCATGCATACCATCAAGCTAGATGCAATTATTTTTTTGAGGTGATGGTCGTCTAGAATATGATCCAATTGACAAATTCCACAAATTTATATCATCTACATCATCATCAGATGATGGTGTCTGAGATATCTCATACATTTATGCTGGTAATTTGCTGTTATCGCACTACTAAAACTATCATTAACAATAATAATTACCACATTATTCTACCTGAGAGCAATAATTCCTAATTATTACAGATATTTCTTGCTATCGTGGGTCAACTAGAATGAAACCCAAGATCATGGATTTCTATCGACCATACTTACGACTACCTATCCAAATAATATGCATTTAATTTTATGTCTTCTATGAAAAAAAAATCATATTACAACTCAATCGATGAAATTCGATCAGCATCATGGACCATCATTCAGTCAGCTACATCGTTCCAAGTTGCCACTGCTCATTAGCACAATAAGATAAACACTAAATTCATAGAAATATTTACTGCAATAGTATATATATATATATATATACCACTTCCCCACTAAGTGGTCAGTAAATTTTTATACTGTTCACTTGTACATAGTAGGAAATTCGAAGTACAGTATTTACCAAGAAATTCATTTCTCAGTTACATTCTAATTGTAAAAGATTCTAAGAAAACGCATTCAAAGATGTTCTCACAGCAATGATTAGTAATTGACTACCTGCATCTGACAATTTTTCGTAATAAAAATATATAATAATGATGAACCAATCAAATGTAAGGCGGCGGTTCCTCTATTTTGGCGTAAAATCCAAAATTCAATGACGGGAAGCTTGCATCTTATTAAGAGCTAAGTAAACCATACCAATATCTAGCTACCTAGACTTAAAAGTTGGTAAGCATATGTACTCTATAGAACATAAGCTGTGTGCTATCAATTAGCCAAGACAACTTGAAGGTCCTAGAGATTTAAAACCAAGCAATCAACATTGATGGAATGTAGGTGAATATTCACATTTTCTCCAAAATGCCTGGTTCCTTCATCAAAACATCTTCCTATTTCCCTAAAATATCTGAAGGATTTTCAAAACAACAAAAAAAAACGCACAAATAAATAATACAGTTTTGTAAACTTCAATACTTAGGTCAAACAGGCTGAACAAATAAACGTTTAGAAGTACATAGGTAACTCAGCAAGTTAAATAAAATAATAAACGGATTACCATGAATTACTCAAAAACAAAGGATATTAAAAAGAACACGTGTTTGCAATAATTTATTCATAAGTCTGCACAATTTTAATTCGGGCATTATTGTATTACATTGACCGAAATAAGGCATCCGTTAAAAAATTAGACAATGTTGTATATTAAAATAGTAAATATTTTTACTTATTACGGCCTAAGTAACTCAGAATAGTGATTTTTAGGTTAGAAAGGTTATTCAAATAGGGCAAGAAAATATGTCGCGAGTTTTCGAGTCATAATACAGTTGAATGAAACATGTGAATAAAATACATAGTCGATCATTTGGAAAAGTATTTACCTAGCAGTAATTTCTGTATTTATTTTCAATATATAAATATCTCCGCTTGGAGCTCTCCTCCAATTAGTGTAGGTTTCCAACCCCGGATACTGGAGGAGGGTTGGGCATGGGGTTAGTAAACCCATCCAGTATAAAAACAAACTTGCTGAATAACGCTAACCTGAAAAACCCATTCAAGCCCTTTAAACTTTGCCATCAGAGTCAAACGGTCTTCATATAAAAGAGCTATGAAGCTATATGATGAAATCTGAGATTCTTCAGATATCATGAAGCCCATGTCTATTTCTACAACTAGAGCAGCAATTAACATAGATAATTGGAATGTCAGCATAATGTGAGAGACCTGTATGACCAATAAAACAACTGCAGAAATGAGGAGATATAACTTGACGGTGCATGGAAAAAGTGAAATCGATTGGAACAAATCTGGATAGTAAATATTAGATTCAGGAGAGTTTCTGTTGTACTCTGATCATGAAGAAGAGAAAGATGCTATGCACACACAGAGTTGTACTGATGATATCGAACGAAGCATGTAGAGCGCTTATAGGATGGGAATCTCATGTATCCACAATCATCAAATCTTCATTCAAAACAGAGTATGAACAATGCTAGACAGGTTTCACTGGATCACACTACAGAGAAGTAGATCGATCATTTTTGCATCACTGAAGAATGACATCGAGTTCAAGATAGCACTCAAGTCACAAATAGAGGTAACTGTAAACATGCTCCACACTCTATTTAGAAGGATTTGGAAAGAAGAACAAGTGCCGACAGACTGGAAAGAACGATACGTCATCAAAATACCAAAGCAAGTCTGAGAACTTCAGTGGCATCACACTACTGTCAGTGTGGTGCGTGCTACTTATATTGACATAAGTAGTATGTAACGCGAGTCAGGAATTTTATGTCTGGCAGCAGAAGATTGGGAAGATCAAGAAAGGAAGAACGGAATAGATAGCAATTAGTATAGAAATGCACGAACAATGAAGTACAAGACAATTATTGAACATTTTAAAAATTAGGTATCATAGTATGGTTTTTCTATTTTACCAAGTAACTCTGTAATTCGGTTGTCCTTATCTGTGTTCTCCACCACATCAGCACTAGAAAAAGTTTTTAACAGTGTCGTTGAAATATTCGGGTTGGGTCTCGTAAGGATGAGTCATAAACAGACCAAATTGTGACACTACTGATTTCCTCTTCAGATGTGGAGGTCTTACTCGAATAGGATTGATATGACTCTTCTCTTAAGTTAAAATTTTATATTTCATAACAATTTAACTGTCGGATTTAAAAAATTCAAAGATTAAATATAAGAATTTTGACAACCAAATAGAACAGTTTACGCTAAATGGAGTTCAGCTAATCAAACTACAGTAATGCACCACTGACACCCAATTAGCAAATTTATAACGGAAACACAAAGTGTGTTCCTAGTTACATGAGCATACATTCCGAAACGTATGTTAACCAATTACTTATTATTAAATATTTGTAATCATACCGTTAAATTTTAATCAATAGGGGTCAGGAATCTCAGCAATCGTGCCAGTAATGTCAGCCGAAGTTAAGTTTGGTTATTTGAAGTAAAATACAACCCTAATGATAATAAGTTCATATGAATATAATCTATACTAAGGGAGATGTTGTCAGAGTAAGAAATACGTGTGATATAAAATTATAAGTGTTCAGACTAAGAATGAGGCAGGGTAGACATACACATAAACGTGAAGGAGCATTGGCAATAAGGATTAACAATATCTAGTGATTTAATTTTCGACTATGGTAATAAAACTCAAAATTATGTCCCCCGAAATGATCCATTTAAATTTGCTTTTTGAAAATCTATTAAACTATCTCACTGCAAATACACTAAATCTGTGTATTTTTCTTTCGTTTTCAATCTCACTGTCCTCTTTTTTCATATAAAATTCGATTTTTTCATTTCATTTAAAGCTTATTATTGGCTTTTGTCAATTGGGTACATTTACGTCATATTTAGCGCCATCAATGGTATCTGGTTATACATCGGGCGCAGGTTTTCATGTGTTAAGCAGTCAAATCAGTTCATTGTTCGGTGTAAAGTCTGCAAAGAAATATCAAGGACCTGGTTCATTCTTTATGGTTAGTTAACAAACTTTGCAATTTGAGTCATTTATATCATCAGATTGATGATCATATCATGAATGAAGTTGAGCAGTTTTATTTTATGATATCAACTGTTACTCACATATGATGAAAATTCTCTAAATCATTACAGACCATTAGGTGTGGACGCTAGATATATGTTTTGATCGTCAAGAATTATTGTTTAATAATTCATTATTCATTGTTTTGTTTTAAATCACGTATACATGGGTGTGCAAATCTATGGTTTGTTACTTGTGGTGCGGTATGTTCTTGCTCATAAATCAGTGGGTTTTTGAGCCATTATAAATAAGCAATAATAAATAATTCATTGGCTTACTGCGTTCGTCTCCTGGCTGACTACTGAGGATTAAATTTCTTTGGTCCAGTAGGAACAAGGATTTCTGAGGCCTTCGCTTACAGTCTTTTGTTGTCGATTATTCATGTTATTGGTTGGAGCAAAGGTTATTAGCCAGGCAGGGGTAAGGCGTACTCGTAATCAGTGGACTCCGTCTTCTAGTTTGATTATGTGAACAGTAAGAGTACAATAGAGAAACGGGGAAATCGGATTCGAGAACACAACTTTTAGGTCCTTAAGCAACACTGTCCTTAAATTCTAAACGTAAACCATTAATTCTGAAACAAACCTTAATCTGGTGTCACTATGTTTTCTAGACGAACTATTCGGATAACGCCTCTTGGATTTTCGAGGAAAGTTCGTGCAACCGAATAACTACAGAGTGCTTTTAGATTATAGCTGACATTAGTTCATAATATAAATACTAACCTTAAACGTCTATTCGTAACCATATATACCTAACCCTGAATAGCCTAGATGCATGGACTCTCAAAAATCTATTTGAGTCCATTTAAAGGTTCAAGAGGATGGACCACGATGCTCCACTGTCTTATGGGTCAGACCTTCAGGTCGAAGGCTCGGTGTGTGGCCCCCTAAGAAAACCACGTGCTTCGGTTTGGGCACCCGGGCAGTATCACAGCCCACACTCACAAATATGGTGTGGCGCATATATATTTGGTGCCCTCTTGTACCAATATTTATGTGTTGAAATAAATAATAAATTACTTACCCTATCCACCATGCGACTGTAAATTATTTTTGTTTAACTATAAATATTGAGTCACACTTAGTTAAATCGAGTTGGCTCACTCTCCTTCTCCACTGTGCGTCATTTGGTTTCTCTTCTTTCTCTATCTCCTCTTCGCTTTCTTCGCTACGAATCCTCAATTGTCTTTTCACATCAATGATTGTATGAAATATACGCATTCAAAATCCATTCTCCTATTTGACTTATTTAATTCCGTTATTCACTAACGCGAGTTAAGTCGATAATTATATGCGAGGATTGGCAACATGTACAAGCCGATAACAATAATTAAACGATCAAATTGGAGTCGGATATTCCGAGGACACTAGAATGGGTTACATTTGACTTTATATCTGTCCTACTATAGAGACTCATCAATAATTTCTAAGCCAGATTTCTTTGTGTTAACATACGTTTATCTCATTCATAGTTCAATATGATAATAAATTTTATTAATTAATCCTCTTGCTGTTATGCTAAAACCCTTCAATTAATTGTCAGAAATATGTTTTATATGATTAGGAAGAGATTTAACATTGTAAATGTGACTACTTGTGAAATGTTTATAAATGTTTGGTATTTATCAAATACATATATTACATAGATGTTTACTGAAAAAATAGTTATACTTTCATACCTGTCTAGTCAGATATCTTTATTTCCACTAGGTCTTCATAAATAGACTCGAGAAATTACGATTTTTCACTATAAACTTAAAAGCCTATCTCAAAATTGATCACTAATGGAATCTATCTTATGTAATAAGACTGCTTCAACAAATTAAACCAGTCTCAATAATCTTCAAAAATAAATTCTGTTATTTGTTTGAAATAGTTATTTTCATTAAGTTTCTTATAAGCACATCACAAAGTATGACCTACAAATAGTCTATGGCTATATATAAATTACTACGTCTATTTATTGCATTGGTTTATTTGATTATTTGTAGTAAAGAGCTAATTGATTTTTGTATAAACTTCAAAACAAGTATAAATATGTTTCGAGTATATTCGCGTAGATGTTTATTTATTAGCAAATTGATTTCTAGGGTCATCTGCATGGACTATTCTGTAATTTGTTAATTCCACTCTTTTTAATTAGACTAAACATAATTGTTTCCATAGGTGAAAACAACTGGTTTTAAAACTGTTTATCTGGTCACCTTTACGGCCATTTCTTGTAATTAATTTAAACATTATCACTACCGATAGTTATATATATATATATATATATATATATATATATATATATATATATATATATATATATATATATATAATCAAATGGGGTTATCTACACGCTTCATATATGTCGATGTTCATTTTAAAGCTAATATCTTGAGGTCACCGGGCTGCAAGACTAGAACTTCCCGACAACATTTGAGTGATTCGAAAATCACCTTGAGATACTCCAACCACCTATTAAGGCATAATGACATTATCAAGTAGTGTAAAGAATTAAGAATAAGACTTGAGGTTAAAAGTAACCGTTAGAAATTCTAGTTAGAGCTTTCGTCACATTAGCTATAATGCTGGAATGCTGAAAGTGAGGTCACATTAATTACTAATCATCAGTTAACTGTTCGAAAATCACACCATATAACTCATTCCAGGATAGTGGTGATATCAGTAAAAATTGTTAGTTGGGTTTCATGCATATTTCAAGCAGCTTTCCGCTGTCGAATAATGTCTCTAAGCCGTTTGTTTGAACAATTTCAGATAATAAGCTTAGCGATTCCTCATTCAAGTAGACAGGTTTTAACTTCAAATTGTATGAATACACCTGATTTAAGCCATCACCATACATATTGAGCAGGAAAAATGTGATAACTTGTAGTACATATGATTGTTTATGATAGATCTTTATAATTCGATTTGTATGGGAGATGAAAAGCTTGCCATAATACCAAATCATGTGGGTTCGAGATAATATAAAACTTGTATGGTGGATGATTTTAACATTTATAAACAAGATCTAGTAATCAGATTGAAAAAAAGATTAGACTTAAGAAAATTTCACTCTTTTCGTTTTACTTATGAATTTTATGAACTTATTACATAACGTCGGTCATACTTTTCTTTTATGTTTTTGCCGGACTACTATTTTCTTGTCAATAAAGACAGTTAAACTGAAAACTTTTTATCATGACTACAAGTTAATCTTAAATCAAGAAATAAGAATTAGGCTACAACCTGTAGCCCAAAACTTGAGAATTAATTGCATGCTTTTTATAGTAATATATAGCGGCCTTTCTTTTTAATATTCCGTACTCTGAAAACTCTTCAACTTTCCTATGAAGTTACTGGAAGTCAGGAAATACTGGACAGCAGATTCTTTACCTTGAAACTCTCTAGGATTTTGAATCCATAATGTCATACAAAGTCCGTAGAAATCATTTTTATTGCAACTACTATTTGTTTTGGAGTTTTTACTCTTTATTTGATTGCTTTTATTAAGATACTTTTTAAATACCTAAGGTAACATACTATGGACTAGGGTTATCCTCAATATGTTCAATGTCACAATATGTGTTATGCATCACACTTTCAGTTACTTTTCCGTTCACTTATTAAGTAAGTGTTGTGTATTAGGGTCATTTTTGTTGAAAAGTTCATCCCAAGCCTTCGCTTTCACTATATTTTTAGTTTACATCCGATACATTGGGTTGTTCTATACGGAATATGTTCATGGAAAATAGCTGAAGACAACTCCACCTGATTAAAATAAAATTTTTAATGAGTTACATTGAATTGTAGTACTCGTCCACTAAATGAACTGGGAAAGAACCAAAACTAAACAGTGGAAATGTTAGCGACAACCCCAGTTCGTGTTATGCAAGTGCGTAATCTTTTTATTTTGTTATCTGCCAGTTGCTCTATATTTGACCAAAAGGAAACGAACCTGGTGAGTGTTGTGTATCAACACGCACAAATAAATTTTCCTCAAATGAAAAAATTTTCATCGCAGATCAACATCATTTCTGGGTCTAAAGTATCATAATGATAATTATGGTGAATGACTACCTCAGTCATGATTAGAACGATTATCGGTAGAAATGTTTAATAAAAAATAGAATATGCTTTCACCGAAATCCAAGCAAATTCACATTCTGAAATAATGAATATAGTATTTCTGTAACTCATTTGTGTTAAATTAACTGTTTTTTATGTGAAGTTGAAACTATTTCACCAAATGTAAAAGTACTCTCTTTACCGAAGATAGCAAACATTAAAGACTGACTACATGTGATGTTATGAATTCAGCTTCTATATCCCTACTTGATTGGATTATTAGACTATAGAGTTCACCGATGATGAATTTATTTTAAGCTAATTATATTAATGATCGCTTATCCGACAACATCACTGACCATCAACGATGATCGGATATCATAAGGTGCATTGGTCCACTCATATTCCTTTATCCATAGTGCACAATCGGAATACGTGAACAGAAATCCGATCTACTTCTGATTATTACAACCTGTAGCCTGTATGCTAATGTACGCCAATTACAAGAACATAATGAACCATACTTAGAAAATCATAATGATAACCGGATTATTCGTAAAAAGATGAATAGAGAGAGGAAATGTTATGAAGCACTGGAACAGCTGTTTCATCATAAAATAAGTTAAAGCTAGAAATACAGATTATTGTATTCATGTTCAATGGTTAAAATGTATCATGATCACTGAGAGACTTGAAGAAATTCAAGTTTAAGGTGAACGAATCGTCAGTTTACTCTCGTAATCAACGGTGAATATTGTATAATCAAAATGTCATTTACATTTAACAGAAATGGCTATCCAAATAGTTTTTCTTATCACAAAACAAGTGGTTGTCTTCATTAAACCTTACTTTACGTTATTAGTTAACGTAACAAATTGCCTCAGGCTTTATGCTGTTTACGCGTAGTTTATTAAAATTAGATTTTATAACTGGTTGACAACAGTTGATGGATTTTTGAAAACTTATCAACAACTGAATAGTTGTTTTATTCTCAATAGTATCTACTTATGATTTCATACAGAATCAAGCTTAAAGTCAATAGGTTATGCTGCTAACATGCTGCCATACACTTACTAATTCTGTGAATTCTATGACTTCCTGATATATTGACAAAAGCAGTGATAGCTTGTATTACAATACGATATTAATATCAAGCTCACTTATCTCCTAACTTCTGTCACTCCAAAACATAAATCTTGTAAGAAAGATTTATTTGAGATATTGAACTAATGAAAATCGATTCACACTCTAATTCGTTAAGTTATTTATTAATTACATTCAGTGATTGTTAGTTAAAGAATTCCCCATGTTGACCAACTATTACTTGGATGAAAAATCACACTGAATGAAGAAACGGAAATGCATTAAACACCGAAAAAAATACCCGTTGAAATAATTAATACTGAAAGAACTAAATGGAAATCCCTTCAAATAAATCTGATCAATTTGCATTTTTCTATTATTTTATATTTAAGGATTTAGGAACTCCAACACTCAGTTTTATTTGAAATATAGGGTGTTTATTATCTTTCTTTATCGATCAGTAAAGTATTTTACACTATATTTAATTAGTCTCAACAGTTTTTCGATGCTGCTATTTTAATGTTATACGGGAATGATTTAATAACAAGTGCATTTGATTTAAGAATCAAATTTTTAATTAGTCTCAGAGAAATGTCATTTATGATTGTCATCATAATGTATTAATATCAAATATTTCTATCCAACTCAGTTGTTAAGTAATCGGAGGTAGTCGCTAGGGGACTATGAATATAGATTTAGTGCTAGTTAGGACTCATCAGTAAGACATGCTTGCAATCTTAAGGGAATTAATGTTTTCTGTAGTACTCGGACCCGCATCACCTAACATCACAGTTTGAGACATAACCACTGATTTATTCAAGCGATGAGTGACCCCTGTAGGACTGAGATGTATACAATTGATTGATCACTGAGACGTAACAGGTTGAGTTCACAACTGAGTCTTAAACTCAAAATAAATGCTTGCTTTGATACATTTGGTAAATTGATTCTCTGTTTAATATATCGTCGAATGTACACATATATTGTTTACTATTCCAGGTCTATGTGAATTTGTTCAAAAATATACGTGAGACAAATTTGTTCACACTACTTATATCTGCTGCATCGATTGCGTTCTTAATGATTATTAAATTTTGTGCTGAACCCCTATTGAAACAATATATAGATTTGAAGATTCCAATACCCAGTGAATTGATTTTGGTAAATGTTTGTCATTTTTTAAATCAAATTAATTACCATTTTATTGATTCAAACAAATCTGGAACGTTTAACTGTGTTGGGTACTGTGAGACAGATATTTCAGTTGTAAAATCCTTACTATAGACCTAGACAACACTGTTTTGTATTGATCTATAGAATTGTATCTCACAGGTTCCTTCATATATCAACAGTACGTAAAGGTCAATTTTAAGAAAAGCACACTATAAAAGAGTAAAGTGTATTGTATATAAAAAGAGAAAAATAATAGACCCATAGGTACCTCAAAGTAAATTATCATTCACACTCATGATTATTAACAGTATCCAACGACCATAGTCATCTGGTTTCTGATTAAACTGTGTAACTTATTACAAAATAGATTTTTGAAGAGTATTAATTTACTACTTACTCAATACAAATGAGTAATCATAACTCATGAGGATTACTTTTCTCGAATTCCATAAAAATATGATGAAATACCCAAAAGGATAAAGGTGTTTGCCACCTATTTTAAGTATTGTAACGTTTTTCTCCTCGAAGTAATGCGAAAGATTGAAAATATGGATCTGGAGTTGTAAATTTTACCCATACTAATGGTAAAGTCCTGTAACTCATACAACACACAAATTAAATCAGTCTCTATGAGGCCGCTCCACTCAAACAATGATAGTCGATTCAATTCAAGATGTTCTTAAAGTCCCAGTGAGAAATTTTGACCAGTGGAGTTCTGATATCTCAAGAGTGAAAAGACTGTCATCGATATTATTGGACTAACATTGCACTATATACCAAATTAATTAAAATCGAAATTATGCTGTGAAAAACAATGTGGCGGTCTTGGTGGTCGTGTACTTACTGCAATAAATATGAACCATAATTTAATTAAAAATACACTGAAAACATAAATAACTTTTCCAAAAGTAGTTTTCCTTGTTTTTCAATCCCATTTCGACTCCTCTTCTCAGCACTTCGAGGTACTGGGGTTCTATTTAGTTTATGATTGTAGGAGGATAGGAGGTCTCTAGTAATGGGGAAGAATATGCCATTTTATTGTTCTCTTAGTTAATTTTTATTCCAGAACAAAACTGTATTTAAGTTGAAAAGATGACCATTTACATAAGAGAAAATCAATTTTCACTTTGGTATTCAATGTTCAATTTATGTACCTGCTAATGACTTAATTAGCTGAAAGTGCAAGCAAGTAATAAATACTTGATCCAGAGATACTTTAAACTAAAAACCACTACTAGCTCATCGTAAAGTTTTTTAATTATCCGAAAAGTGGCAAATAATCGAGATAATTTTGTATCACTTAAACATAGCTGAGATCTTTGAGAAAAATTTCAATTTCAATTATGAATCTTAGAACATGAACTGGACTATTTTTAAGCTAATGAGAACGATGATGATTGTCTAAACTCCAGTAAACTAGACGTACGCTGAAATATTCTTGTACAATGTACTTTGATTAACGACATTTGTTACTCAATTGCTTGCTAGTTTACTGTTTTCTTTCAAAGCAATCTAATCACAATTCATTTCCACCTCTCATATTAGGTTACTTTAGGCACTATAATTTCTGGTACATTAAATTTACACTCTACTAAGAATGTTTCAATTGTAGGATATATTGCGAGCGGGTAAGTACATGGTTGAATGTATTCAATAATAAATCTACAAGAGATTTTGTATTTTGAAATATTTTCATTCATTTTCGACCAACTCCATAGATTAATTTAAATATGAAAATAAAAACTTCTGGAGTTATATGAATGGATTCAATGCCCTTAATAAAACAACTATGAGGGTTCGTAAAACTCTATTCAATACATAACGGTCATTATATAGGTTACATCCACCCTGTTAATAGCGTATTAAAACGGTTGGAAACTGTTTCTTTAGACGTGCAAAAAGTAACATTATACTGAGTAGATGACACAATAATAAGGTTAACAAAAATTATATAGTCTTCAATACACAATTCTGAAACACTGAATGTGGCTCACTACTATATGATTAGTAAATGAAGTTAAGAGACTTGGAAGAGTATGAAAAGAAAATACTTAATCTATGATGTAGCTTACTAATTTCAGTGTGTTTTTATTATCATCAGAGTGAAATACAAATAAAGATACGGAAATAATTTCACTATATACCATTTCAGACGGAAAAGCACTTCTGATTTACAACAGGGATTTAAATGAAACTAGTTATATTCAGTGTTCAATTAGTTTTGTACTTCTCCAGACCTATGAATTTGTGTAGCCAACAGATATATGGCAATTTAAAAGAAATTCATATCACTTAAGGCTTGATACGTAATTTTACATACTACTATGTCTCAAGGTATTCTAATTAAGATACACGCTCATGAATTGAATTACTCTTGGTATGTTGAAATCTTCAAACTAAGGTCGATTTCCCGAAAAATGAATGTTTTAATAATTAATGAGTTATATAACTCATTTGCAATTGATGATATATATATATATATATATATATATATATATATATATATATATATATATACGGAAGGAACAACCAGTGAAATTGTTTATTTACTTGGTAAGGAAAACATTTTGGAATAACTCGAGTCCCTCAAAAATCTAAATCCACTGTTCTCTCTGTTAAGTCTAATCATGATGTTGATCAAATACTTAGTGAAGAATTTTAAACTTTAAGTTCTTTATAGTCGGCTGAACATTGCTTTCATTATTTCTGTGTATGGAAATGAAGGTATTCACCAAAGTGAGATATAGGTAGCAGTAGAATATCAGAATGATAACACTGAAATATTACTTATTCTAAATTAACAATATCAACCATAAAGGTAATTTAAAGAAAAATTCATATTACAAATTATACATATACTCGTGCAGATGTGCAAACTTGTTAAAGGTATTTACCATTGATGGACATCAGTTTAGGCTGAACTTAAAACCATAAGTCACTTTACAAATGTTTTGACCTAGTATGAGACTCCTGGGTAGAGTTTTGTTAAGACACCTCCATTAGTAGAATGAAAGAACTTTATATCTAACGTTGAAAGCAATACGTTAGACGATTAAGTTCATAACCAATGCGATATGTTTTAACTTACAATCGATTGACATTTTAGCTTAATGCTTATTTAATACTAAGTGTGATTACAGTCCTATCCCCTAGATGATTAAACTCATTCGGTCATGACTACCCCACTAAAATTCGAGGATTTCATCATGAAACTAGTAACCAGTGATCGTTAGGTTATCAAGTGGTTGAGATATCTTTGAAGTTCAGTCGATTTTTTGAAGTAGTATTCTGACGACTCCTCGTACTTCTGAGGAATCTCATACAGGAGTGAAACAACTGTTCAACGTTCCCTTGTTTCCAATCACTCCCCGAATTACATTACATTAACAGTTCAACTTGATCATTACAAATTTGTTCTTATGATCATTTAAAATCTATATAATGTATCCATCTGCTACAATATAGTGCGCTTAGGTATTGTTTTTCACTTCTTCCCTCTCCCAACTGATAGAATGCCACAGGTAACAGTACCCCATTGGAGCATAATTCCAGATTTACTTCCAGATGCTATTCTAATTGGATTTGTTAGTACGTTTCTGTCAGTTTCCTTAGTGAAATTATTCTCTTTAAAGTACAGAAATAAAGTTAATTTTAATCATGTAAGTCGAAATATAATATTAAGAATATGTGATTTTACACATAGTTACAGGTATCTATATGTTTTTCTTTCCAAGTGTACAACTACGTTAAAGTTGGGATTTTTAGATGCCTTTCAGTTAAGAATTGAATAACTGTCAAACCATGATCCCTCAGTCACTGACTTGTATTTCGATGACTATTGATCTTATTTTCATCTATATTATTGACTGGATTTTCTATATTTTTAGTAGAATCTCTCTACTTAATTCGTTTTATACGTCTCTTGATTTATTCACCAATCAATGCCTGCTTTTCATTTGATTGTTTAGCTTTCTACACAAGAAAACACTAGACAACTATCTCATTCTTGTTTTAAAGTTTTCAATTTTAAATGTAATTAAATACTGGCTTATTCACTAATTTTCAAGAGTTTCTCACAACAGAATGTTAGTCTGTGATAGAGACGCACTTCAAAACTGAGCAATTACGTGTAGACAACATAGTGAAATCAGGTACGTCCACCTGACGAGTACCGAATGAGATAAACGTGAATTCCGGATCCCGATCCTAGCTGTTAACTAGCTTTAATAAAATCCTGTGAATATATGATAATATCAAAGCAATCCTCTTGGGATGCACACAAACATGTAGAGGCTGATCAGTTTCGGTACATCACATCAAAAACAGGAAAATACTAACCTTTACAAAAAAATGTTTATTAGTTTTAGAAACAACACCATTTTAATAGGATATTTTACTACTCCAGGAATCCCTATTAGTCGAGTTAAAATAGCGGTTTGATAATTTCATAACAGTTATCTTACCTAATTATGCCATAGATTTTTATTATCATCATGTTCACATATTCGTGACGAGATAATAATAACTCGTTAGATTGTCTGGGTAAGTCGCCTACCTATACACGCTTGGTTTGTAATTTCTTCGAATATATATAATTTTTCCCTTTCAGGAAATCTTATCACTCGGTATTATAAATACATTCACATCATTTTTCTCTTGTTTCGTCCAATCTGGTAGTCTTTCTCGTAGTATGGTATTAGCGGGAACAAAAACCAGAACACCCGTGAGTAATTCTTTCATTCATTTTCCATCATTCTTCATTATCATTACCTTCTTTTCTCTCTTTCCTCATAAAACGTGACCACAAAACATTTTTTTATTTTTCCATTTGTCTGTATGTATTTTAGTCTGATTATTTTAGTAATGTAAGAAATTTTTTTAAAGCAAATCTTATTTCATCAAGACTTCAAACGGAGTTACATGGTTAACATATAAAAGGTGAAAAGATCAACTATTGGACAAACTGCAATGTGATATTATATTATTTAGCAAAGTGCCCATACTTTAACTAGACGCATATAATTTGATCTGAATTAGAAATCACAAAACATGAAGTTATCGATTACTAAATGAATTATTAATGGACAATTTATTTAGGGGATCAGTCACTGCCATAGAAGCTCAATGGTAGGTCTCAAACTGTGAATCCAAATGACGTGTGTTTGTATCTCATAGGGAACATCAGTTCCTTCATGACTGCGTGTACGTCTTACTGACGAGTGTCAGTAATACTAAACTAAGGCCTTGGATTTCCTGTTGATTACCTACAGCTAACTAAGACTGATCAGTGTAAAAATATTTTATGAGTTCAGTTGAAGCCTTACAAGCACAGTGGTGGCGTCTCTGGCCCAGAGATTTAATGATACCGTTATAAATCCAAAAGACAATATAAGATCTCTTAAAACTGCAGATGGGCAATAATGACTAGTATCAATTAGTTTAATATTGATATCCAAGATTTACTACAGGTTTTCGTCAACCACTCATCATTGAAAGTTTATTTCCAAATCCAGGTATAATGCTTTTTGACATTTATGCTCCGTCATCAGTAGGTTTACTAAATAGATTTATTAATTTATACGTCTTTTATTAGAGAATTTATTTTTATGTCTAATACTAATGGTAGCAACGTAATGAGTGGAGTATTTCAAATAACATTTCAAATTTAGATCATACTCTTCAGGATAATTTAACTGTAAATATCTACTTACTTTTATTTTGCAGCTATCAGGTATATTCAGTTCACTGTTGATTGTATTTGTACTGTTATTTTTGGGCCCGTATTTTGAAGCAACTCCATCAGTGAGTTCGAGTATTTAGCATGTACTTTGTTAATAGTAATGCCTTAAATATTACAGACACCTTACCATGTAGCTTAAAAACGTTGACATCACTATGGTTCTAACTAGTACGGAAATTTATGAAGATTACTGAATGTCATTATGATCAAGAAACAGCCTAAGTTAAATAAATAATAAAAGCCTGGATGCACCTAACAGCCGTTTCGTCTTGGTATTTGACTCTTCGGCAGTGAACAATCATGATCCTACCACAAAGAGACGAATCCGGGACTTTCAGCAGCCTAGCCTTTATACTACTAAATCTGCACTCAGTGATGAATGTGTCTTACTTCAATATGTTCATAATATTGAGCAACTACTTTCTATTGTCTTTAGTGAGTAACTGCATTACATCCAACTCTTCTGAACTCCACTGGGCACTAAAAATCCGGGACTCTTTTCGTAAATTGATTGAAGTCAGATAGATCAGTCATTGGAAGCGTTTGTCATAAGTCGGTTCTTGGGTGAGCACTAATGAGGATTTACATACTATAATAAAACAGCTATCAACTACTTCTTGATTTTCAGTGGTTGTTTATCTGAAAACTATTATTTGTATACATATGATAACAGATCAACTCTGCTTTATGTATTCGCGAATATTCAGCTTAACTCTTAAAAAAACATTTTGTTGGTTTGTTGATGAAATACTTAAGGACCACCTCTCAACAGTAAGTTGTGGGCTATTGCATTTGTTTGGATGTCCTACTCAGTTTCTTTAGTAGTACAAAGTACACTGACCCATAAATCTTCGTAATCGGTTCTTAGTTTCGCATTATCTGACAAAGAGTGAAAGAGAATTTCATGGGTTATTAGGCTTCATGAAGTAAGTTTGGATGGTAATATTTATGAATCAAATCACTTCCATAGATTTCCCATTGAGGATTATCAAAACAATAAGTTTCGTTTTTATAACAGATTAAATGATTTATAAAATAAGTTGGGTGACTTAGATGTGCGAGATGATAGTGTGTGCATAAACACTTGATCGGTAAGTGTCAACTAAACAGATTTCAGAAGACAAAACCACCCACTGATAAACCGGTCAAATAACTTAAGGAATCAAAATTGGTCATTTACGTACAAACTAGTTAATTCGAATCGTACGACTTGTATGACATTGTTTTATTTACTCAACCCTAGCACTAAATGTTATAAAAAACCAATGGTCAGCCTCGGTAGATCGGGCAACCAGTAAGTCACGAGAACATCATTGTATCACTGAACACTAGGTAACCCAATTAAGTGTACCACTGAATCTTATTTGTAATCAAACACCAGTTACCTGGTCATCACCATGAAAAGACTAAAATATTCCGATTTAGAACACAGGTATATGAGCGAAGAATATTCTTTCCAATAATTTCTATTCAGATTCTATGATTATATATCCAAAATTAATGATCCATAAAATTGGCCAGGTTTAAGGCAAAGTACATCATTTAAGTTTTCGATTGAGATCGTAAATCGATCGGTGTTAGACCACCATGGAAAACCTGGAGCACTGGACCGCCGTTTGGTTTTATTATAGAATGTGAAACAAGGATTGTGTGTCATATAACATATAGTAGTCAGTCGAAGCTAGACCACCATGGAAGACCTGGAACACTGTTTCTTCTCAGTATGGGCCTCCTCAGCAGTGCGCACTCATGAACACAGGACCTGTCGGTTTCGTGCGCGAACGCTTAACCTCTACATCACTAAGTCGGTATCCAACGGTGTTAATGTCTAGCTTTGATTGACTCATCAATTCAACTATTAAATTACTAAAATCTCCACAAAACCCCCTTCTGTTATAAAATAAAATCGTTAATGTTTGGGTGACTAATATGAAGTGTTATCTTGAATCAGTCAAGTAAAATTGTGAGATAAATGATGATCAGAATAAATATGGTTAACATGGAATATGACGGAGAGAGAGAGAGAATAATGTAATTACAAATCAAAAATTACGTAATAGGTAAAATGATACGAATTAGGCAAGGATTAGTAGATATGGGGTGGATGCAGAATAAATCTCGCAAAAACATTGGCAGGTGTTATAATAATAATAACAATCATAAGTTTATGCTATGAAAATGAACATTAATAGAATTACTTCACCACATCATAAACATGATCAACTAACTAGGTCAGAATTTGGCCAGGGTAAAAGGAGCGGTTGGAAATATTTCTCCCGGACGCAAAGCTCCGGCGTTTTGATCCGAATAGCAATTGCTTCAGCTGTCTGAAGGAATCTCACTCTGACGAATTTAGGCAGATTTCTGTTAACACGATATGTTATTGTGAACGATTGCTCCATGTTGGCTGTATAGCCCGTTTTTACCATAAAAAAATAAACAAATTCCTAGAACACCTGCCAATATAACTCGCTACACAAGAGCAGTTGAATTGACAGATACAGGAAGAAATGGCTAGTTTAGGTAATTTATATTTCAATCTCAAAGTGATCATTGGATGTGTAGAAAAAAAGTTGTAGTTTACCTGCATTAAAAGGCTTTGTATTACACTGTACTACTTTAGTATTAGCATTTTGCTGGATGCATTGCCTCTAAATTGTAAGCGCATATACAGTGACTTTTTGCTCACAGTTAGGGAATCCTTATGCTCTCTTTTCTCGGCTAAATGTTTATTTATTTTCTTTCAAGGTAGTGCACAATGCCTTTGTTTCCTCTTCAACTGCATCTAGGAAGCATATGGTCTTGATTCTGTAATGGAGTATCTTAATCAGATTGACTTTTTATTGTAAAGGGATAAAACTAAGAAAATTTGTTTATTGACCAGTCCAAGTAGTTTTCTTGTTTAAGTTTGTTCTTGGTGACCCATCTATTCTCCTTGTAAGTAGAACATCTAGAAAGACTATTCTGCCTCTATTTTCGGGTAAACTTCATTAAATCACTCGAGTGTTTCTATCAGATCGGTATGGTCGTTAAAAAGGATGAATGCATCGTCCATATATCAGAAATGAAATGAAAACTTTCCAGTTTGCTGTGCCAGTGAACCGTTTCGTAGTTTGGTGAGAAAAATGTCGGCTAATATGGGACCTAGTGGTGAACTCATCGTGGAATCACCCATTTGTCTACATATTTTGAATTTGAAGTTTACATTTTTAGCAAAAAATTGCTTGATTATCTCCACAAGGATTGCAGTCTGTACTCTTTGTTCTCTGAGTTGTTCATAGATATATTCTACAGTCTTCCTGAGTGAGACGTTTGTAGACAATGGCGTTACGTCTAAGAACATCATTGTTTATCCTTTAGAGTTTATATTTTCGGTCTTGTAGACGAACTAGAATACATCCTTAATACTATGCTTCACTAGGTGTTTGCGGAGTGATTGATCACTAACCACTTTGCTACAGTATGTTATGAATAATTGTACATATCCAAAATTGGTCTTGTGTACCTTTAGTAGTTCGTATAACTTAAGTAAATGGTTACATATCGGCTTAATTATTTCGCATATGTTTGGCGGAATTACTTGTTGTACTCTGAGACTTTTTAAAGATCTGATCAGTTCATTCTCTGTCATATCACTGAGATCTTTTCAGTAGTTCAGTTTTTGGCATTTTAGGTGACCAGTCAACATGTTTTTCATCTTGTCAATATAGTCTTTTTGTTAAGTAAGATAGTTCCCCTTCCTTTAACAAGTTTCGTAATAAACAAATTTTTGGCATGAATAAATTCATTGATAGCATCACGTTTTTTAGTTAAAATGCTTCTGTGGTTATATCTACTGTTCTTAAACTGATAGCAGCAATCAACCAGATTTGATTTCAAAACGTTCAAGTTCTTGACCGGAGATCGGAACTACATGTGATGTCTGACGATTTCAGTTCAAAATTATTTTATGTTAAAAACAATCCTAAATTCATGTTCTATAATTTTAAATGATGTCCTTCGCCTTAAACCTGGCCAATTTTATGGATTATTAATTTGGATATATAATTATAGAACTCGAAGAAAAATTGTTGCAAAGAATATACTTCATTTATGCATCTGTCTTTTAATATGAGAATTTTTAAGCGATATTCAGACTTATCAACCATTTCATAGCTTATCTTAAAAAAATATACAACAGTTAAATTATTAAGGATTGTTCATTTTCGAAGAGTTTTCCAGAAGATAATCTATTTCATAGATACAATTCATTAAATTAAATTCGAAATTCTCTGGGATATTTTATCAAAGTAGTAAATTACTTATGAAACATGAATGACCTTGGAAGGTTTGTTGTTGTTATCTATAAAATATCACAGTGTATACATATATTATTTGCTTATAGCATAAATGTTTCATAACACATGAACAGAACAATAGTTGTTGAATAAAAACTTTTTCACATGAGATGTTTGATAACAAGTTACTTTTTACACAATTGGGATACCTCAATTTTGACTTTCACATTAGTCAACTTCACACTTTATCGATTTACATTATTGCAAGTAGACTGAAATATTTATCTTCAAGAAACAGTTGGGACTAAATACTGATTATTTCAATAATTTATTCAACTCAGTAAAAAAAAGGTTTTGTATTGTGACATTGGAATCCAGAAAAATTCGTTTCTTTTATTTGAGACTTGTCAGTCGCATGTACTTGTATGAAAGCAGTGCCTTGATGAATATTGAAATATAATATTCACTAAATAATCCGATGAGTATCGTGATTCTACGGCGTAGTGCATAACTCCTTGGCATTTAAAGTGAATTTTACAATGCTTAAAACTCTAAAGGAACAGGCACAATGAGATTCCCGTAAAACAATCTCATGTATCCCAAATGATACGAAATTCAGATTTTTAGATTCCACTGCTAGTTATTGTATAAGCTGTTGTTGAACTGGAGATTTCTACAATATTTCGACATCAGTTATCCTATGAGAAACTGGTCACTGAGGTATTGTATACTTAAAAACAAAAAGTAAACACCTAAATAAACTATAAAAAAAGCATTGGATCATTATTCATAATTGTACTTTTGTTTCCAGTGTATTTTATCTGCTATAATTGTGGTAGCATTGAAAAATATCTTGACACAACCGAAGAAACTACCATATCTATGGAATACTTATAAACCAGATTTTGTAAGTAACACAACATTGTCTTTTATTGATATGTACATATAAAGCTTAGTTGATTTAACAAATAATTTACTTTTGATAGACTTGTTCATTCTTGTAAATTTATACATGTGTAGAAGAGTGAAATGAATGACTATTAAACTACATTAAGTGGTTAGTCAAAAAGATGTTTCTTTTTATGTTATCAATTTAGTTCATATTAGTCGAAATCTTCACAAACCGTTTTTAGTAATAGTAATAATGAACACATTAGCAACAAAATTGTGAGATTATTCTTGTAGTTTCAGTAAAAGCTGTGATCAATAAAATTCAGATGTGGGACAGTTGTCTATCAGTGTCTTTGGAATATGGTTACCTAATGCAGATAACAGATTAAAGTTTGATGTGTAGAGCACTGAGTCTCGACTCAATGAGCTAAAAGTTAAGCTCTAGCTGCTAGGGCTGGGAAATTTAGTTTCGATTCTTGGTGGGGTCAATATGCAGACCGAAGGAAACAAGAACAAAGACAGACTAAACATCATATACAACAGAAATTGAAGCAACTTCTTCAAACACTTCACACGACAATGTGACTCCCCTCTCCATCAGTTAGGTGTTAAACATCACAACATAGCTTCACTTGCAACAATGCATGTAGACAATTATCGACATGCCTTCGATTGGGAAAAGTCGAAATATTGAACAGTGGATACAGAAACAAAACAAGAGGATTTTTACAACTTCAACATTCTGGCCACAGATCGATAACCAGACACATGGAAATCGACTCAATCTATCAAACAATAAGGAAGACGATAAACACCTGAAAGATCAGTTATCAGATGATAGGTGAAAACGACCAAGACAAACATTCGAATAACCACCACACATCAATGAGAAGTGACCAATGAAATTGCAGGTCAGACGATTGTGGAAAATGTCTAATAATTTACTTCTTACTGGAGTGTGTGATAATAATGTTCTCGAGAAAGACAATGATTAACCCAAGATCAAGAAATTCAGCTCAGCGAACAGAACACCACTAGAATCCTTATCATGAGCTACAATATTATCCATTATCTCATACTAACAATTATAATAATCACTCAGGTTACAAAAGATAATTAATTTGATACCTTTATGTCGTGTTGATTGACATTGTGTATTTAACAAACAATAAGTGCAACATCTAAATTGCTTACAGAATGAAATTAAGACAGATAACACATTATTTTATGGACGTTCAATCTTTTTTTCTTTGAACAGTTTCTATTCGCTGTAACATTTTTGGGCACTATCATACTTGACGTAACTTACGGTCTGTTAGTTGGTCTAATCTCTTGTCTTATTGTATTAACGGAAAGACAACGAAGCATCAAACTACTGGAATTGTGCAATATCTCAGGCACAGAACTTTATGTTCATAAACATTATGAAGTAAGCTAAATTGTTAATAATTTATTTTGTATTGGTTGTTTGAATCATCCCATTGATGTTTAGGACTGAAATCAATCAGTCTGTTATTGGCATATGTTCACCTTGCGCGGATTGCCTTGATATTGAATTAAGTTACAAGCATAATTAATACAGATGGATGGTGGTCAGCAGTGGAACTCAGGACACGTGTTTTGTCCTATTCGAGGCTCTTCAGCTGGATTTACCTACGTTTTAGAGTTGATGTTCACTCTGGGACTCGAACTCGGTACCGTTCGCTTCAAACGCCATCACGTTATCCACTCAGCAAATGAGTCCTGATAGCCACTGGCTTGTGCAATTGGATGAAGTTTTAATTCATTTTATATTGGTTTTTTGGATCTTTACAAATACAATACATCACATTACGTATGCCAGCATTGTGATTAGTTCAGTGTTTTCCTAAGAATAATTTGTCATTCACGTAACGAAAAATAGTTGCTTTCTTTCTATGTTTCATCAGTATAATATAATGCATTTTCCATATGTAGTCGCGTGGTTAGTATTTTTTAACAGTCTCATCAACCTATAATTTGTTGTGCATTTTTAAAAACATCTATTATGATTAAATTACTAATTCAATGTTACGTCAGTTCACTGATACTTTCGCAAATACTCGAATTCGGTGACTGTTATACATATTTTCCCCAACAAATTTAAGTTACGGAAATTCATGGCGTAGTTATCCAACTAACTAGCGCTTTTTATTCTCCTGCAGGAAAGAAATATTTATGGGGATTATTCACTGAATAGTAACTAATGTCATGTTTCTAAGTAGTATTCATCACAGATTTTTCATAATTGGGGTACCATTAAAAACCAAAGAGCACTAGACAACTGCATTGATCTAGTACGGAACTTCTCCACAATGGGTATCCACAACCCCACTGGGGATAGGGTTTAATAATTTAAAGCCTCGTGATGAGCATTAAACTGTTGGGACTGATTTAACGTCCAGGAGTACAATATTTAATCCAATCAATATGGAATACAGTGGGACGATCATACAATGCTGTTGGTGACAACTACTTCAATCCCATCGGTTCTGACTTTTTATTAGAACTTTAGGAACATTTTGAGGTAAGTCACAACGACCTAATTATTATAGCTTAGTCAGATTAATTTATAGTTAATATTCATAGATGTTCTTTTTTGAAGAGTTTCAGTTAGAACGTTACAGCTATCTAGTGTGTCTTAGTTTCAGTGGTACTCCAAATGACGAATACGATCTATAAATTAAATAAATCTCTACTAAACCATAGCCCAAAATCATGCCATTTTTGTTCAGACCATAGTGTTAAGCCAATTAGAGCTGTAACCATAACTTGATTGATAGAAATCGATGAATAATAAGGATTAAACAAAAACATCATTGATTACTATTCAGTGATCACCCAATAACGTTTTTTGGTGCTATTCATGTCTGATAGATCGAATTATTGACGATCAAGTTGTTTAAGTTTATTATATGTGCCCTCAAGTAAACAAAATATGAGAAGTAAACCAATACTAACGTCACTTTCGGCTGAGGTTGTTCGTCATATTTTCAACGTTCATTTAACGTGTTTTAAACAACACTGTGGGTAATTTATCTGTCCACTAAGCGGATGAGTGTTGCTTATTGGTAGATAATTTACGTTCGATATTTCATTTCAAGCTCTCAGTTTAATATGTTTATGCTTTCAGTTTTGTATATTGTACTGTACTATAGTCCTATATTCATAGAAAACAGTTGGGGGAGAAATCTCTATGCCTGAAATAAAACCTTTGGTGAGAATTAAATGTAATAGTCAGCATTCACCTATGAAACGAAATGAAAATTGAGTAGAAACTCTGGGTGATGCACACTACTTAAACAGTGAAGACGGAAAGATGAAGAGACATAGGAAGTTGTGTATTAAAACTTTGACTTTTCAGTCAAATGCTTAACCTCTAGACCAATGAGTCGCCATTTAACGGTGTTAATGTCTAACTTCAATCGATCTATGATCTTGCTCAACCCTTTATCCGTTATCTGAATTGGATAATTGTCTCACACCCAACACGGATCGGACTTCACTGGTCATGGCTTCTCACTAAAACTCTAGAAAATCCATCTTGGAACTAGGACGAAACGGCCTTTCAGTGCTCCCAGGTTTTTAATGGTGTTCTAGCCTAGATCAACTCATGAATTAAACTATTGAAATATAATAATGTCTGTTATCTTTATTTTCATATTTTTATATTATTATTATTATTATTTTCGTTATTATTTTTGGTTCAAAATCATTATTAGTCTCCCTAATACATGACTTATTTACATGGCATTCATCCGACTTTATTATTCCTTACTAAAATTATGTATAGTTTTTACGCATTATAGTCTTTTAAACATTTGATCCTGTTTGTAATTGCACTATTATCCCTCTCACCTTTTCTGACCCATATTTATCCCGATCATGGATTCTAAAATTTCACTGAATATATAAGCTGATTCAAGTTAACATTGCATATGAGCTATTTCAATATTAACAATTTTAAACTGTTTAACATGCTATAACTTCAAACACTGCACTTTGCCCTAAACCTGGCCACATTTTTGGGTTAATAATTTGGATAGATAATTGTAGAACCTGAAAAAAGTTTATTGAAAAGAATATTCTTCTATACACCCATAATCCCCGTGCTGGATTTGGCCAACGCATATGACGAAAATGGATTTCATGCTGAACAAATCATCCAAATATTCCGTTCTTGAATTCATTTGTTTGTAACTTTTTTCTCAATAGTATTTTCTGTATATGCAAAAATATTTCTCTTAACAAACAACAAAATACAAAAACAATAGGAGGGGAACGCCCAAAATAAATCGAAGAGAAAAGTCTAAAAAGCCAATCGATTAAATGTTTTTTTTCTAAGGAAACAACATCCACAAATAGAATATCATACATGTCCGTTTATCTATCATGTATTATTTTTCCTACCAATATATTTACTGGTTTAAGAATTTTTTAATGACTTACCTTTCATTATGTACTACACAGAAGAAAGTCACTTAGTTGAGAGGTGTATTTATCAGTTGTTTTAGAATAGTGTATACTTTTAAAGTTGAGTAATGGTACTCCGTAACTTATCGTAGCCCCTTGAATTGTTACCGTCATAACCTGACTAAACCGTGGTTAATTTTTAATACACTGTCGAGATCTATATAAAATTTGAATAACTACTTTTTATCGTAGTTTACTATCGCTAGAGAATTGAAGTAGTGACTGACTTTCTAGTTGTTCGAATCGATAAATAGTTGATCGTCGATGTCATATGGAGATAGAACTGACACGAATATATTGTGGTTTAAAATATGCACTACTGGATGTCAGTCCAGTGGTTTAAAGATATCATGACCAATGACACGTTTGAATGTTCTAAGAGTATGAGAAATCTCAAACTATTAATGTTCAGCTTTTTAGTAATCAACAGTTCTTCTAAGTCTTTGAATAATGTCAAGTTCATGATGTAAATGACCTTCTGTAATGGCTGGTTCTATGTCAAGCTTACATAGGTTACTCTAGCTTCTGAACAGACCAATTTATTCATTCTTCTCAAGCCTCATTTTGACCTTGTTGATTATTCTTTTATTAACCCTGACTGTTTTTATATGACTGTATGTGTTGATTACTAACCCTATTCATCACATGTCAGTAATTTATTTTTGGTCTGACTATAAATATTGAGTTACGCTTGATCAGATCCAGTTGGCTCATTTGCCTTCTCATCTGGGCGTTACTTCGTTTCTCTTCGTTTCCTTCCCTAAGTTTCCCTGGTTGTCTGTATGAAATATACGTATATACAATCTATCCTCGCAACTGGCTTATTTAATTCCGTTATTCACTAACGCGAGTTAAGTTAATAATTGTATGCGGGGATTGACAGCATGTATTTTTCGATAACTATCATCATACAACCTAAATGGAGCCAGATTAGGGTCACCAAACTTCAATGAACGATAACTATTTAAAAATAATATAATATACTTATGAGATATCTAAGAAATCACCACTAAAGAATCATGGAGATTGTTGAGTTTTTAATTGAGATCATGAATTAGTCAATGCTAGACCAACATTGAAAACCTAGAAACAGTGGACGCTCGTTTCGTATTAGTATCGGAATCCTCAGTAGTGCAAATCCACGATCCCGCACTCTGTACTCGAACCCAGGACCTTGTGAGGCAGTTACTGAAGATAATGGAGGACGACCGCGAAATATCGTGGATTGGTTGAAGTTAAACATTACCACCGTTGGATGCTGGCTCAGTGGTCTATAGTTTAAGCGTTCGCGTGTGGGATCAAAGGTCCTGGGTAAAACTACTGAGTGCAGGATCGTGGAAGCGCGTTGTTAAGGTGTTCCATATTCGGACGAAACGACCGATCGATGCTTCCAGGTTTTCAATAGTGATCCAATATTAATCAGTTCATGATCCCAATTAAAATCTAAGAAAGTATTTTCAATTTCTGTTTTAAAACTCTTTGCGGGTTTTATGTATATACTATTGGATATTATTAATTTTCGTTTTCTCAAGCTATTAACCAAAACGCAAATAGATAAAACTCAATCTGATTATCTATTGTCATCGATCAAAGCAATACGTGTTCTAGGTTCATTAAACTTTTCATCAGCTGAAAACTTCACAAATCGCATTTACAAGACAATTAATAATATGATGTTAGATGAAGATTTCAATTATGTTAATAATAATGTATTAAGTCATCACAATGGAATTAATGATAAAATACAAGATGGATATCACAATCATTGTCAATTAAATGAAGCATCTGTGAATACAAAAGACAGTAAGAATAATATTTATGAACTTTCGAAAATTTTAAATGAGAGAAATGGAACAAAATCCGATGATAATTACTTATTGAGAAATAATGTTGTCAGTAAATCAAGTGACGTGAGTAATTGTTTACAAATGTTTTTCTAAAAAAAAATTATTATCGTTTTCAAGTAATGTTAAAACGTATATGTGAAGCGGTTGAAGGGAAAGGATTAGATGTTCTAGCGATAGGTTTCTTGCAGGTTGTCACTTTTTCAACAAGGCAGATTTAAAATCTGGAAAAAATTGCTTTCACCTATGAGGTTCTATACCATATCCTTTACTATCATAGAGTGCGTTGCAATACAATTCATATACGAAATAACGTAGGGTACACAATAAAGCAGTTCAACAGTGAAATTTCTTATCTTCGGAAAATATGGTCAGATATTGACAGAAAATATGACATGCTGCCAATAAATGTTAGATTTTATAGATTTTCTAATTAAATAGATGTATGTAATGGTAAACTGTACTGAACATTTATTCTCATATGATATAAAATATTTAAGTGAACCATTCAAGTTTTAATTATCATAACTGGACATTTGCGTAAATGACTATTTCATTCACTGAAGTTCAGCTTATAACCAACCGCTTACGTTTCTACACATTTAAAGTGTTAAATATGAATTTGTTAGCTAAAAAAATTAACCCATATTAATGTTTTCCAACTCATAATATTATACAAAATTGTAAATACATGCAGGAACGATGTAAAAATCTAATAGTCTCATGGAACAAACATTCACAAATTTCATCAGACAAAATCACCATTTCAAAAACAATAATATGGCTTATATTACTACTCATACAATGTTTGCTTCCTATAATCGATATATCACGATTCTTTAAGTCACGTTATGTGTTTGATTATCAATGATCATGTGAAAGAAAACATTACAGGAATTCATCTTTCATGCTGCCAATATTTTCTACATAAAATTTCAGATTAATGACTTGACAAATTTCCATGCCACCATTTCACCAAGCCCGCATTTAGTGACAAAAATATTTCTATTTGAGATTTATTTTCAGAAAACTTCTTTCCAATCTAATTCAGTTTCTCATTTAACTGATCTTTATCATCTTCGTCGCTGTCACTGTTGAGTATATAGCAGTCGACAAGATTCATTGTGATCTCCTCCTACTCTGTTTTGAATAACGATTTGATGATTGTGGATACATGAGATTCCCATCCTATAAGCGCTCTACATGCTTCGTTCGATATCATCAGTACAACTCTCTGTGTGTGCGTAGCATCTTTCTCTTCTTCATGATCAGAGTACAACAGAAACTCTCCTGAATCTAATATTTGCTATCCAGATTTGTTCCAATCGATTTCACTTTTTCCATGCACCGTCAAGTTATATCTCCTCATTTCTGCAGTTGTTTTATTGGTCATATAGGTCTCGCACATTATGCTGACATTCCAATTATCTATGTTAATTGCTGCTCTAGTTGTAGAAATAGACATGGGCTTCATGATATCTGAAGAATCTCAGATTTCATCATATAGCTTCATAGCTCTTTTATATGAAGACCGTTTGACTCCTAAGACAGAGTTCAAAAGGTTTAAATGATATTTTGTGATTAGCATGTTTTTTATAAGTTTGTATTCTAGTGGATGTGGTTGCTAACCTTACGTCCTAAACGTGTAACCGTAGAATCTTTGCGGGAATAGTTGTAATCAGGTATAAGATTGAGAATAAACTGAGTTTAGTTATTGATATTATAAATAAAATGTCCTATACAGTTACTCGATGATTGTTCATATACAATTTAGACTTCTATTTTTGTTTTCTGTTTTACACTTCCCCATCCTTCACCTAAATTTGAATGTACCAAAATCATTTCAGACACTCAGGACAGAAAGATGTAATTTGTCTCATCGTCAAACTGAACCAAATCTACCTTCATTACATGTTGACCTGCATGACTTTCTAATGAAGCATGATGGGGAAAAATTACGAAGATTTCTTTTGTTGGACATATCTGGAATTACTCACATCGATCCAGCTGGGGCTGCTGCACTCACAGAAATACAACGAAATTTGTATAAAAACAATCTCTTTGTGATTCTATGTGGAGGTAAAAGTATTTCTTAATTTTCAAGGTGTTTTGTTCTTTGAGCTAGATTGTTGAATAGTCTAGCTTTCATCAACACACACTCCAGTAAGAAGTAAATTATTAGAAATTTTCCACAATCGTCTGACCTGCAATTTCATTGGTCACTTCTCATTGATGTGTGGTGGTTATTCGAATGTTTGTCTTGGTCGTTTTCACCTATCATCTGATAACTGATCTTTCAGGTGTTTATCGTCTTCCTTATTGTTTGATAGATTGAGTCGATTTCCATGTGTCTGGTTATCGATCTGTGGCCAGAATGTTGAAGTTGTAAAAGTCCTCTTGTTTTGTTTCTGTGTCCACTGTTCAATATTTCGACTTTTCCCAATCGAAGGCATGTCGATAATTGTCTACATGCATTGTTGCAAGTGAAGCTATGTTGTGATGTTTAACACCTAACTGATGGAGAGGGGAGTCACATTGTCGTGTGAAGTGTTTGAAGAAGTTGCTTCAATTTCTGTTGTATATGATGTTTAGTCTGTCTTTGTTTTTTGATGTATAGAAACAAAATGTTCCTGGACTCTACTAATTGATATCGAAGACGGTAATGTTAACGTTTCCGATAAAGCATTTATATATTTTATTTAGACAATTAAGATTTTTGCCTATATTTGGTCGAGATAAGATAATAGTATTCTCTTAACGTACAGATTATATACGTGTATGTTATCCCTTTTAATTGTTTATTTACCAGAAAAAATACGAATACAGTTAATTAAAAAAATACTACAAATCAATTTGGGGAACGATGAGATCTTGTGTCTTTTTCCATTAGACTTTAGATAATAGATTTTTCCAAGAAAATAACAACCATATTATAAAACTCATGGCTGAATCTTGACCATCGTTTAGTTTGGACCAAGTTTTTCTGAATAGCTTGTACCATTCATTATCAAATAAACTTTACATCAATACTACCAAGCAGATTTCGATATCACCTTTGTGAAATGTATTCCTAACAAGTTATTCTACACTTTAATGTACACTCAGTCGTTGTAGTAATATTTCCCTAAACATCTAATTAGTCTTTCATTTTCAACGGTTTGATATCTATTTAATGTGATAACGATCTTTTCCGCTCTAAAACTTTGTAGAATGAAATTCAACTCTCAAAGTCTATCGTTTATTTTAATGATTAAAGATCCATAACCTTTGATGTTATCACTATAATTTTTTTCAACTGTTTATTGTTTTTTGACAAAAAGATGATTCGTTTTAATGTCATGTTTAGTTTTTTTTAACCTAATTTAACTGAAGCACGAACAATCAATTTAGCAGAATAACGTGAATTAGATATTTCACGGTTACCCATTAGCTGCTAAATACCTAGACATAATAATATGAATCATTCAAAATCAGTATACACACTTTATATCATAACGTCAGCAGAGGTCTCGTCAACGAGGATGAATTAAAAGAGCAATAAGTATGAAAAAAATGTTAAGAGATGTTTATGTGCTAAATGATGTGAATATTTTTAAGTTGAATATGTAAGAATATTCTAGAATAAACGGCCAAGAATATGAAAACATAATTATCCAGGGATAATATATTAGTCTTAAATTTACGTAACTCTTAAACGAATTAACTAATAAACACATATCAGATAAGAATTGAAAATGAATAGTTTATGTCATGAAAAGAATAATCCCATGGCAGACATTTGTGAATGAGTTCACTAGGAGCAAGGCATGACTAACAAATGAATGTTTCTGGATGCATCGACTCGTTTTGAGTCTTTTTATGGCAGTTGTTTCGGTAAACCGTAGTAAAATCGACGTTTTATCGGAAATCCGAAATAATTGTTAAAATTCAAACAACCATGGTGTGTCTTTATTCTTCGTTTTTTTGATCAAAAAATAATAATTTGTCAATCTTAAGTAAAATTAACAAAAATGAGAACAAACATGGATTAATCACTCGAGACTAGGAAGCAATGAACATCACTGATCTCCCCGAGTATCGAATCCAACACCTTTAGGTAGCCCAACAAACGTCCAAACCTTTGACATTGATTTGGCATCCAATTGATTCACGACTAGTATCATTTCTAAAATTGGACAACAAAAGATAAGATGATATTGACAATCAAGACAAGTTAACAGCTACCTTTAACTTGTTTATTTCAATTTAATTATCCAAAGAGAGTAAATGAAATAGTAAATTTTATTTTTAATCGTTAGTAAATTGTTTTAAAGTTGAGTTGTCTTTTTAATTTGTCACAAACGTCACTTTGTTATTTCGATGGATAGGTCATTCAAAGATTTTATATCTTGAATTAACCATTCCAGGTAATTTTTAAATATATCACAAGCAGTATGCTAGTGGTCGTCTTTGAAGACTATCATCCTAGTAAATTTTTCTTGAGAAAACACAATGTCGTTGTGCTTTGACGACAATTTCTAAAAAGTACTTTAAACTCAAAAGTGCCTTCCCATTAATGACAAAAAGAACAAATTGATTGTGGATATACCACACAAACAATCAGTGATCAAGTTTAATCGGGAAGCTTGATTGATTTGTTCGTCATTCTTAATTAGGATCATCAATGATTTATTTCGTAATATTAAAGTAACTCATCTGTTTGTGTTGAACATTTTAATTGGAGAACAACATTAGTAACATGAAGACATTTCGAGTAACGTTTTTCTCAGGGCTGTTTGAACGTCAACATATTAAAAGTTATCATTTAAATAAACTCTTTTTACTCATCTATTCACACTTAATACTAAGGATAAATGTTAAATGAATCCGCGTTTGCTTGTAGATCCAACTCCATTCAAATGTTTATCTGCATGTGACTGGTATGTCTGTCCTGGATTGAAATCAATCTATCCTACATTATATGATGCTGGAGCTGTTTGTGTTAAGTTGCTTTGTCAAGATGAATCAAATCCAAGGAGAAGCTCAGAATCACGGGTAAATGATACGAATAGCGAATAAGTGAGTGAGTTAGTGTACATTTTAGTATTTCACTATTTTATGGTTTAAAACAAACGTTCAGTCTTGAAGAACCATAGGGTATTGAATAGCAATTTTATTCAACCCTGAAATTAACAATAATTATGAAGCTACGATCCATTTTGTACTTAATAGCCCTGTGGCAATTGGAGGGGGTGTTAAATTGTTTTGTTGTAAAGCTGTTCATAACAGAAATTCATAAACCTAACTTGTGCACTGCCTAAAACTCATTAATAAATAGTATATGGTGTCTTTAAATAAATACTAATGACTGCATGGTTTTGGCCCTCTTGGCTTTCTTTTACGGTCAAGCTGTTGGTCTAATAGCTGTCCATTAATATTTCTTACTGTGAAATAAATCTGAATCCCAAGAAGTGTGACAGTTTCTCAAGGATTATTGATTCGCCTTGATTAAAAATCCTAAACAATAGGAAACCTAATTTAAGAGTTCACAACCAACCTCTTTCAAGTTCTTGACATTAAAAGAAAGTTCATCATAATTATGAGTAACTTAGAACAAAATTGGATTTACAAATAAACGTTCTTTAAAGACATTTTTAATAATATCATTATAGGGTTGTGGACGTTATGTTTTATTTAGATTGTGAACCGGTCAGTGTTGGATCACCATTGAAAACCTGGAAACACTAGACGGCCGTCTCGTCCTAGTATGGGACTCCTCAGTAGTGATTGTTTGGTTTTCCGTCAGTTAAATCATCAACCACCTTTCACTTTATTTCGAGTGGTAATTCTTCGTCAGTGAACACAACGGCATGTGCACACATATATTCACTGATTGTGGATTGACGGGACATTTTAATCAGCAAGCTGCATATTACCTATTAACAAAATCAGCGATATTTTAGACTGATGAAAAATACACTTGTATGTTTAGTTTTTGCTATCAAGTCAAGAGTTGTGTGAAATCTGATCCATTAAAAGTGATAACAATATTCATGCTTATCACGTTCTGTCTATACTTGCTAAGCAGTTAATGAGATCTGTCTCACTGACCTAGAAGGTGATGAAACCGATGAGAAAACAATAAATTCGCGGTCTTTTTTTATCAAAAATATTGATCTAGTTAGTTTGCATATGATTTAATGTTCTCGGAGGTTAATTAGCATTTTCATTCTAGTCATTAGCATCAAGTTAACTTCTTTAAATAGAAAACGAATGTTAAACGTTGATCACAATTACTTTCCATATACCAGATTATATGGAGCTCGATGAGATGACTAGCTATATTGCAAGTCTGGAGTATGAGAAATAATCAGTATTTAATACACTCAGTCATTGAGTAAAAACGTTCGTACTCAAACTATGAGCTGAAATGAAGAAGTGGATTCATAGTCTTAAACTCATGACTGACTAAACTATTTAGCTGAAATGGACTCTATTTCAAATGGAAAGTTTCAAGATGGTGGAGAAGATTCAAACTGTATTTTATTTGACACAAAATTGATTGTCTAGCTAAGGTCAAATCATGATGTAAGCTATGAAGATTCAATAATTTCCACATGCACCTTATACCAAAAAAGAATATTAACGTGTTATTTAGTGACGGGTTTCAAGATGTAATTCCAGGAGTTCTGATGATACTTTTTGGCTACTGGAAGTTAGACATGTCGGGTGTGAGGCACTTATCCACCAACAGAAATAACGGATTTTTTTGCGACAGCGCAGATTGACTAAAGTTGGACACATAAACCATTAGAACCTGACTCAGTAGATTTACCATTAGGCTCTTGCTGTAGATGTGAATATTTTGGGTTGGAACCCCTGAAGAGATGATAGATGCGCACAGCTAAGTAATCCCACACTAGGATGAAACAGTCGTCTAGTACTTCCTGGTTTTCACTGGTTGTTTCACTACAATCAGGAAAAACGCGCTAACAACAACAAATAACACATAATACGTATCCTTAAAATGACGAAACAGATCAATCAACTTAAAATGACTCATTCATTTAGTAGTAACTATGTGGCTTAAAAAGCATAAATTTAGAGAATGTGCAAATAGACTATAATAGTTAATGTTATTGTAAAGCAAACTTACTAAGTACTTATTAAAATGAGAAGAATTAACTGCTCAATTTTCAGTAATTCACGGGACTTAACTCTATATTATGCTACAAGGATCCTTGAAAATGAAAACAAATTTATGTCTTACATGTGATTTATGGCAGATCATGCTGGAAACATGAACGGTTTAGATATTACGATAGATTACTAAAATATTAAAAGATATTAGTCCAAATCTTCAAACGAAATGTTAATTACTTTGATACGTCAGATAAAATGAACTGTCACAATCTTTGTGGACAGGTATCTTTATTTAATCCAACCTTTCACTATAAAGATTATCACCTAATATCATCGCATAAAAGTTTCATAAAGATTTATTTAAATAATTAATCTTTTTAAGTAAATTGTGGACTCCAGGTATTTGTATTTCTTTGTTGTTAATAATTAAACTGACTTTGACTATTCCTCCATTCAGCATATGGGTTTCTGTAACAAATGTTTGAATATTGCATAGATTAATAACTCACTTTTATTAAAGATCGTTGGATTAGCAATACGTATTTCAGTATTTGTAAATATATGACATCTTTATATCTGTTAAAGGATCACACTCTAAGTGATTACTCTACAGGGGTTTCAATCACTGAGTACTAGTTTTCACTTTCCGTTTAAATATTAACACAGATAAATTCAGCTGATTAATGTTAGATAAGATAAAATGCTTATCTCTATTCAAATCTTAGTCTTTCCTTAGAATAATTCTGTAGTTACTGGATATGTAATGAACTTCTGTTACGATTAATAATATTTTACTTATTAACACAATATTATCTTTGTATGATACTAAATCACTATGTTCCTTTTTTCTTTCTTCCAAATTCATATGTTTTAGAAAACTCAATAGTTTTTAACGGTACATAATTAAATTACTCAAAATAACTTAATAATTATATAATAATCATTGAAAAATTTATTTAAATGATTTAGAGTACATTTTTCTCATTAATTAATCAATGTTATATTGAAATACAATATTTCTAATCAATTTTTTAATTAAACATTTTGTGAATTAGTTCAATAGTTTATTGATTATTTTATTGATCTGTCTTTCAGAAAGTGCTATTTATTTTAATATTGATTCATTTTAACTAAAGATAATATTGATCATAAAACAAAAAAAAAATCAATAATTCATGAATTTTATGTTATGTATAGAATATTAATTCAATGTAAATCATTTGACGTTTTTATAAGTTCACGTTAATTAATAAAATAATTATTAAAAAAAATTATTTTCGAACTGACTAGTTTTCTAATTTAATTTATTCACTTATATAAGAACTTGTCTATCACATCATATCCATAACTGAATGTTAGTGATAATGACCTATTATTGTGACCACAATTACCTCTAGTTTGCAAAGAAAGAGGCCCGCCGTATCATTGAAGAAGCCATTTCTTCAGTGGTTATATGGAATGGATAGATTATGTCTAGTAGTGTAATCCAGGATATATATATCGGTTAATTTTGGACTCGTCTACTAGATCTAACCTCATTACTACTTTGATGTTCATTCACGTTCAGACTCGAACCGAATATTTTTCTATTCGAATGCGAACTTGTTATTTGCAGATCTACTAGGTTTAAATATTCACTATTTTGTTCAAGAAATATAGTTTCTATACTATTATAAGTGCGGGTTTGAATTGCCTGGTTGTTAACATTCGTAAATAAATTTTGTATTTGTTGGCGATTGTTCATTTGATTCCGATTGTTTCGATATGGTCCTTTTGTTATACGATATATGTTCAATAAATAAGATTTTTTTGATCTGTACAGTTTCGTTCATAGTGATTTAGGAAGTATATTAGCTTTATGTACAACAGAATGACAGTACATCACCAAGTATTCAGAGTCCAAGCATCAAAAGCTAGTTTGAAAATGGTTTAAAAGTTGAAAATGAAAATAATTTACCCACCAGTAGTGTGTTACGTAATTGCCCACTTGATAGATATGAAGAAGAAATGAAAAGTGTGCTTGGGGATTGATGGTAATTGCAAGTGGATAAAAATCATGAAGAACTGTAATGACATCTAATGACTGAATAAGAGATACCCTGAAGTAAAAATTACAACCAAACTACTGTCAAGAAACACAAGAACAAGTGCGAACCGCACTCACTAGGTAAATACTAGTGGAATAAACATGAGTTACTCATGATTGTCTTTGTTTACAGTAAAGCATATTATTCGTCTCTCTATTTAAGTATACAACTATCTTGACTAAACTTGTTATAAATCCTGTTTATGATATCTACATTCATGGATAACTTGGAAAACCACTGTTTCTAGTATCATTTAAAAGTAATTATACCTACATCAAGTAATAATAAAGAACTAGGTTGGCACATTTACAAATCTTGTACCTAACTTTATCTTTGTCTACAGGTAAGCCTAAACAATGCATGAGCTAAGTGAGATTAAAAAGAGACATTTCTTTTCACATACATATTTAAAGAATAAATATAAAAAGGTTTTATAAGCATTGGTAAAATATTCAATCTTAACTTTTTAATTCATATATACATTGGTTGTTTGGATAAGTGAATATTTTATCTTGTTATAGAATACCCCAGAAAAACATACTTATGACGTTTATTTGAGTAAATAATTGTATGTACACTGGAAACACATATCAGGGTGGAGACCTCGGTAATCTTATGAAAATTCATGATCGACAGAGTCACCCCAACCCAGGGCACAATATTAACTAACCTATAACATTGATTCTGTTAACATTTAATGTTGTTTGCAAATGTTTATCACTGTTCAAATGTAGCATATTTATTTCTAGACATGAAAGCTCTTCCATAAATCTGCTATAGGTATTGGGGTTATGCAATGTGTATATTTTCTGATTTATTATTAGTTCTTCATGTCATGTCTATTTCCATAGATAGCCCCATTTGAACTATGTAAAACAATTCTCTTTATGTATAGAAAAATATGATAAAAATTGAGTTTACAATCAGGTATATAGTCAAACAAAAAGATCATGCAATCAGGTCAACACGAAGTTACCACGGTAACACTAGAATGATTGTTATCTTTCTTATACATAACTCACTTTAAAACTGTTCCATGGTAATCGCAAATAACAATTACAATAATAAAAATAGTGATTTTGTGCATTTTAATTAGTTTAAATGTAACATTCACATATCTGAAAATGTTGTAGATTGACTAAATGCCAATAGACTGCAGATATTAGTGATCGAAAGCTTCTTTCAACCTCAGGGCTCTCAGAACCTATTGGGAGAAAGGTATATTAATTCCTTCATGCACTCTCTACGATAGGCTAAGATGAATTTTCTGACTCAACTGTGAGTGGTTTGCTAATAAATATTCATCCATTTTCGGCTGGTAGACAACGTGAGTAGCAATTTGCACTTTGGCAGTGTTAGTAGTTGGGGTATGTATGTATAGTAATTTGTTGTTTACATTCTGAAATATATTTTCACCAAAAGGTAAGTTTAAGTGAATAATTGAAGTAGTACTTATTTGCTCGCTATGCTGTTTTCAACATCTTTGTCGACAAACTTTTTCAAATACCCACGTGTAAACACATTTTAAAGGGCTTTACCACAAGTTTGTCATTTAATGAAACAAAATAACTTGATCAATGCCTAGTCGTAACTAATTTAGATATAAGGCAGTATTGGTTTTTAATTACTGACAAATTCCGGTATTATTATTTCAGCCGCTCTGTTAAACTACAATGTGCCGGGAAATTTGTTAGTAGAATAATTCTTTCTCTCGCTTTTGATGCTATCTCTTATTCACCAGGTTTCTGTACAGTATTACCTTAAAGTAATGAATTCGTTAAAAAAATTGTATGATAGATCTTTTAATGTGTTAATTGCTATTGCTTGTTTAAGCCCTTAAATGTTCTGTTACCACTCAGGATGGAGAGATTTCACTCTTTCTATCTAAGTGTTCTTGTAGGTATGTTGGTCAAGAAAATAGTTGTAACAAAAGCAGATTTCCGGTGCTTTAACCAGGTTGGTAGATATGAAAGGTCTCTCTAAAAGAGTTGGAAAACCCTGATAGCAAATGATTGGTGTACGTGATCTCACGAATCCTGATTAAACAAACAACTTGTGAATCTATTCTATTTGTCTGATACCATGGGACACCGTCTACCAACCTTGCCTTATAGCATTATGGGTCACACTTCTTGGTTAAAGACCTAGGAACTAGCTGCTTGAGAAAACCACATACTTCGATTTGAGTGTCCCAATAGAGACGCAGCCTATATATAAATCTGATAGCGATTATTGGTAACGAAAATGATTTCATTTCTGTATGCTAACAGATTATGTCCATCACAATGAAAATTTATAATTAGATTATACAGGAATGAAATTGTACAAGTTAATCTAAAAACCACTGAATCCCTATAAACTTTGTTACTAACAGATTGTCGAAATTTGTAACGGCATACTAAAGAGGTAACATGGATTTCACGTGATTGAGTAATGATTTTTAATAAATATTAAATGTAAGCTTAATATAAAAAGAAATTAACGAACTATCATAATTTTCGTATCCCAATATTAACATCATACAAAGATTTAAATGAAGTAGAATTCAACTATCATGTTTAAATCCTATAAACGTAATAATGTTTGCATCAACAAATAATCTAAATCATCTTTCTATCACATGCTTATCAAGTGTCGAAAGCTAACAGATAAAGAAAACTGTATATTAAAAGAAAATTAACAATATTAATGGTAGTTCTAAAGTACTGACTATTATTGAACATAATGAATACTAATAATTAATTTGCCTAACATGATTTACATTAAGAACAGGTGTAATCACATTTTACAACTGAATGGTTCAAGAAACATTTTCATGATTTATTGTACTGAATAGTTTGTTTGCTTTCAAAAGTGAAATTATAAAGTCGAAAGGCATTTCTTATATATATAGTTTCAGCCCATCATCAAAGATAACTGTTGCCAATTTTCATGAATTATATATTTGGCTAACTGATTTCCAATAGCCATTATAAGTGAAGCTGGATTACCAGTTGGAATTTTTGAAATAACCGATGCATCTCCAACACGAACATTGCTCACACCGATTATTCTGTAACAGGAATTGCAGATAATAAGAAGATAAAACTTTAGGACAGGTACATATGTTAACAAAATAAAAGTGGTCTTTTCCATTGTAATATGTGGATTAATATTTAGTTTTCAATTTGCTAAACCGAGCTGATTGATTTTTATTAGTATAGGGGTTTTGTAAGGATTGTTAAATTTGCATAGTTTATATAAAGAAATGCTCTGTCAGATAACCATTAAAAGTTAGGATGTGGCTTACAGCTATTTCGTCCTGGTATGTGACTTTTTAGCAGTGTGCATCTATAACCCCTCTGTAAAGGATTTAGATCAGGACCTGTGGTTTGGTTGTAAGTCCTTGACCTCTAGGCCACTAAGCCGATATATGCAATTGTATTTTGTATGTATCAAACTTCAATTAATTCAGGATATCTCATGGCCATCTTTAATTGCTTGAGGTTAATAACTGTTTTACGTTTAACATGGTTGAACTCCACTAGTTACAGCTTCTCGCTAAAACTCATCGTCACGAATTAGATTTCAGAGTTGTTATATATACATTTATATCAACGAAGAAAACATTCTCAAATCACACTGCACTAAACACTCAAACGAACTCTGTCGTAAAAACCATGAACTGTCGGAATTCCGAAATTTCTTTGGGTTTTGTAAATGTTTATTAAGATAACTAAATCACGTTGAGACAGTAGGAACAATTAAATTTACGATACCACACTAACGAATCAAATTTAAGTGATCTATCAACCAGTATTACCTAAATAAA